ATTCACGGACGAATCTAGTCATATAGGGGCGTTCTCGACACGTTCGATGCCAGAGCCTAGCCATTCACCGCAGATGGTTCGTTGTAGTGTTGGAGCGTAAGTGAACTGTTACATGTACACTTTCTGTGTCTTTCTGCTCTGATGTTTTATGGCATGCCAATTATAGTGACAATTCACATGACGTGCAGTAGTAATATTATTAAAAGCACATATATGGGTGTACAGTAAACTTCATCTATGGTGCTCAGCTGATAAGATTGTGTTGTTTCATATTTAACGTGTTTGTAATAAACAAAATCTGGGATTTTCTACGAAATTCGGAATTTCAATTTTATGCTACATTTATTACGCTATTTTAGAGCCCATGTATTACAGATCCATCCTTATTCGTCAATTGGAACAAAATGCTGATTATAAACTTAAAAGTGCACGACAGTTAGCAAAAGGTAAACTACATCGGAACACCATTCGGAAAGATCTGGTTCTCATAACCGTTAATCAGAATCTTGACGGCCTTGCAAAACTTAATACCAGGTGGATAGTCGGTGTTCCAGATGCTTGGATCGACCTTGTAGTACTCCCGAATCCAAGCCACAATTTGGGCAATCTTCCTCTGCACGCCCTGGGTGTTAACCACCTCACTGCCTGGGAGAGATGGGACCTTGCTCCCCTTGGCATTGGCCATGGGCCACTCGACCTGGAAAAACAGAAATATCTGTATGAGCCTTGTCGTGTGGTAATGTTGAACTTCAAAATAAAACAGTATGAAGACAACCTTACCACATAGCACACGTAGGCAACAGCGCCAAGCTTGATGTCATAGTTGTCTGCCTTGGCACCACCAAACGGCTTGCACATTGACAGCACAAACCCCTCATTGGCAAACGGGTGCTCGCTCTTAATACAGTGCCAAGTTGAGCCGTAGAGGTCTGCAAGTGACAAGAAGTGTAATAAGCAAGTTGCAGCTTTGCATGATAGTAGGTTAACCATCACACAAGAAACTCACCATGGCTGTTCTTTGCCGTCCACTGCTGTAGCGTTAATGCACATCCTGGAGATAAGCCCGCAGCAACAAGGGCGGGTAACTGTGAGTCTAAGTAATACCCACCGACCCCCCAGCCATACAACTTGATTTTGCCGTTGAGGCTAGAACGACGCTCCGAACACTTCTTCTTAGCGATGTCCTTCTTTGCGGTATCGATCGACATTTGGTAATAAAACAAGTCACTACTAATAGACTCCTCTGCATACTTCATTGCTGCACTGGCCTGGAACTCGTGCCACTGTGGAAAGAAGTTTATCAGAAGACCTGGAGCAACGGTTGTGAGCCAGAGAATGGTGTTCGAGGCGATTCCCTGCAATAAGGTGATAAGAAAGAAGGTTAGTCAATGTTACGCAGAGGAAATTGCAAGTTTGACCAACAGTTCGCAATTTTGGATTGTAGGAAAATGTTCTGACCTCAGCTTGTCAGGGACCTGAACAACACCGCTGCAGGAGCTCCATGTCCTTCTCATCAGCCAGATCTTGCAATTCCTTCTCACGCTGGCGCGAAATCTCGAGGGTGTTGTTGAGGTCCGCGAGCTGAGCTTCCAAACGAATTGTTGTGGCGGTGCTCGGATGTTGGACATCTGATGAATGGGGTCAAGATAAAGAACAAGAACCATCATGTTGAGATTATTAAAGTTGCAAGTTAAATACATGCAAACAAGAGATGCAATAGCTCAAGTGAAGGGTGTATTGACAATATAAATTAGAAAGGGTAAGTGTGCATTATTGGGAAAAAATACATCGTTCTAGACCTTCCGGGAAGGGCCGACCCGGAAAGAGAAAGTCGGTGCCGAGTCACAGCAGCTTCGGCTGAAGCAAAAGCAAGAGTGCTTGTTTGGGCAGCATGAACAGCGGGGCGCAGTTCCTCCGGTGGATCTGCAGGGGGCAATACAGGCTCGATCCCAATGGCTGCCTCTGTTGCTGCTGCTGTAACAGGCATAGAGGAGGAAGGAGGATGACGGTGGTTCATCCAAGCAAAGAGGCTCTCGAGACCCTCGTTCGTAAGTCCCTCGGCTGCTGCAGAGATCAGCGCTGTCCGTTTGGAAGGCCCACCTGCAGGGGTGAGGGTGACATCCCCCCCTCTATCGTCGCCAGGTGTCGCATGTGTGCGTTTGGAAGGAAGGTCGGTTGGTGCTTGCGACATTGCGGAAAGTAGTGGGTGGTTTGATGGGCGGCTGGCCCGTCATTTATGGTCATTCCCAGCCTTCTGCATGTTGTTGTGAAGCTACTGTATTTTTCCGGGCATGCTGCTGACATGGCACTGTTTTTTTTAAATGAAGGTTGGACGTTATTCACCTTTTTCAGTGGGAATATATAGCGTCTGAGAAGTGTAGTTGCGTGGGTTAAGGATTTTTGCGGGCAAGTAAGTTTATGTGGTCGATTGCTCAGTCATTGGTCAAAATTCACGCGTTGCCAGTGTTGCCTCGTTCTCCGTTCGTTTGGGTGCATGTGACCAGCGAGGCATGCGCACTGTTCATCAAGTTGTTTTGGGCACAACCGAAAAGTCTTGTTGCCACCAAGCGCTCATCATGAACGTGCAGACTTCGGTGTTTTTTTGCAAAACCAACTGTCCAGAAATGACCAGCGCGGCGGCGGAAAGTGGGTGCGACACGAGCATCACCTGTGCTCCGCTGTCACTCGCCTAAAAATGCGCGTGTAGAAGACTTTAGAATTGCGATAAGGGTTTGCTCGGTGTATTTTTATAAAGATTATTGTACATGACAGTATCGGTCAAAGATACGGAACAGAAGGAGGACCTTCGTGTACCACTCTAAATCCCCTTCTACGACCCGAGTACCCATAACAGCGACATCGGAAAACCATGGCCTGCCATGAAATGATGGAAGAGCACGGATTCAATGTGATAAGTGGCTGAACTCTGCATCCACTGCCGCGGGCATCGCAAGTTCGGTATGAAATTCAATGTGACGAATTTCTGAGCCCCTACACTTTGGTGCAATGTTTAAGGCTGCCCTTAGGTGAGGGAGGTCTGCCCGAAGTGCCTCCATACACGCCTTGTCCCGCTTGGCATCTGAGGTTTGAGGTTGGGGCGGAGCAGGAAGTTCTGGAACCTCCAGCCTCCAACATGTGCGGGACAAGAAGTGTGTTCCGGTTCGCACAGCCATGAGCATTGCCGTGTCATATCGCTTCCTCTTGCCTAGGTTTGGAGCAAGAGGTTGCAAGCGCAAACGTTGCACCACAGAGTTGACGATCTGGGATCCAACTGAGCGCTTGTTGGATGCACGATACGGGTCCTTCACATATTGGATGTGCAAGGTGTTCATAGAGCTGAGCGCTGAAGTGCTCTGGAACGCCTGCACGCTTTATCGAGTCGATAAACTGGCTCACTAGATGTGCCTTTACAAGCTTCCAATCGGAGTTTTGCTTGAACGCACTCATAAGGCCACCGAGCATCTTTTCGGCCCGATTTTTCAGGTCCCGAAGTGATGCATCAGTGTGTTCGCTTATACGTGCACAGTGCAGGTACCACTCGATGTATGCAATCAATGCATCCATCTGTGGCTGTGTGATAAAAGATGTTACAATACAAGGCAGCACCTGCATCACACTTCTGTACTCGTACGCCTGATAGTTAGCACCTTTTGAGAAGTATGTGCCAGCTGGCAGGCGCATGAAAGAGCTACGCGTTATGCTTCGTAAATACTTTAGGCGCCTATCCAACAATTTCCGTCGCGCATCGGTCATTTTCGTCGCGGGTGTATCTCCACCTTGTCGAATGCATTCGACAATGTGCTCGAACAAACCCAAATCTGCTTGATGCATGATGTCAGGCATCACACAAAGGTATGGGTTGAGGATTTGTTCATATTCCCACCTCCAACCCCACAAGCAACACTCCACTGGATGCATGGAGAGGTCATCGTGCTTTATTGCATTGAACTCGCCGCTCTTCATAAGCGAGTACAGAGTTCGATTCACATGCGGGGTGCGTTCAACGGGTCTAAGCTTGAATTGTGCAAACTCCTCTTGCCAGGTGAGGCAAATGGAGCATGGTCGCTTACATCCCAAAGATTTTGTGCATGTGACTTTGCACGATTCGGGGTAGTCACACACATACGCATACAATGCCGGCCATGCGTTAAGCATCTCTCTATTGCGGGACTTCACCTTCACACCAGTGTGTGATGCGCGTTTTAGAGGGCCGAGAACTTGGTTCAGCACATATTGGAATACCATGAGCTTATCCAAGGAGTCATACTCGGGTATAAATTCCGGAAGAAGGGCAAGAAGTACGTGGTCATCCTTTTTCCACCTCTCCACTCTCAGGATGTTGCCTAAGGTCATGTGGAGGGGATGACCCTTGGCTTTCCCACGCTGATCCATGTGCGTCTCATCCGACGCAAGTATTAACGCGTCGACAAAACCGTCGACAGCCTCCTTCCGAATATTTGATTGCATCTTGTACCACCAATCTCCAGTTTCAGAATTGTTGTACACGCGCAACTCTCCTTGGAACCGTGGTGTGGCTTCCTTTACAATTTTACCCACCAAATTTGGATTAGTGAGCAAGTCCTTCAAAGCTTGAATCGCATCACAATAGTGATACTCAAGCCATGGCTTCGTCCCGACTCGCACCCTGGACTGATGCAGCAGCCACCATCCACGAACAGGCCCGTCTACCAACTCCACCACCAGGCACCACCCAACCGTCTTCTCCCACGCCCCTCCTCGCCTTCGTGTGTTCCACACTTCCCCCTGTGTAACCCTCTTCCTATTATCCTCGTCCTCCATTCCCTCCTCCTCTCCTTCAACTTACAAGTCACCTTGGAACCCCCTTGTCTGCACCCCCCTTCTCCCCTGCTCTGTCCCCCTCCTCCGCAGGCGGGCTCTACCTAATCGAGGTCGACCGTCTGCTCCGCCCCGGCGGGTACTAGGTTCTGTCAGGCCCGCCGGTGGACTGGCAGCACCACAACAAGCACTGGGGTAAGCCCGAGGCTGAGATGCGCGCACAGGACGAGGGGATCAGCGCCGTTGCCGCTGCGCTGTGCTGGAAGAAGGTCGGGCAGAAGGATGCTGTGGCCGTGTGGCAGAAACGAGCGGATGACTCGTGCTTTGCTGGGAAGAAGGGGGAGGAGAGGAGGAGGAGGTTGGGTGAGCTGGTGGGAGCGGGAGGGGCGCGGCGTGTGCTGGCAGGAGGGGGAGGAGGGGGCGTGGATGGGTCAGTGGCAGAGGTTCAGCTGGATTTATGCCCCGAGTGTGACAACCCTGATGACGCCTGGTACGCCCCCATGAGGCAGTGTGTCTCTCGCGCCCCTCGCGCCTCTCGCCCCACTCCCCGCCTCGCCCCCTGGCCAAAACGCCTCGCGCAAGCCACCCCCCGCATTAGACGCGCATACGCTTCCGCCGCTGCCGCTGCTGCTTCGGACGGCATTGGGAACAGTAAAACCCTCGTTAAGAGGTTCCTCAATAGCTTGCGCAGGTGGACGAAGCGAGTGGCCTGGTACAAGGAGGCGGTTCTCCCGGCTCTCGGCCAGGGAAGATACCGCAACGTAATGGACATGAATGCAGGAGCCGGGTCCTTCGCAGCCGCTCTGGCAGGAGACCCAGTAAGGGTGATGAACGTGGTTCCTGTGGAAACGCCGGCAGAAGTAGGGGAGCAGCAGAAAAAGGCAGGGAAGGGAGAGGATGGAGTGGGTGGAGCGGGGCTGCCGGGATACCAGTGGAGGGTGTCTGCTAAGACAGAGTCGCTGGGCCTGCCTCCGGGGGAGTCGCTAGGGGTTATCTACGAGCGAGGCTTGATTGGGACGTACCAGGACTGGTAAGCTCGCTGGCCGTGTGGGGGTCTCTTAGGTCTTTCCTTCTCTGCTTGCATCTAGTCTCAACTGTTCCTCTAGTTTGTGTCCCCTCGTTTGATCATCCTCTGCATTGCATTCCCCATCTTTTTTGTCAAGTTTGCACCGCTCATGCTGGTTCTCATTCAATGAAAACGTGCTGCCAATAATACTGCACCCACTGCGATATCTCGTCACCCCAACACGCTCACTGCTGCTGCTCACCCTGCAGGTGCATGCCTTGCGTCATCACGCTGCTCATCCCACTCTCCTCTCCCTCTCTCTGCCTTTGTGCCTCCTCCCGTGCCCTGTGGCCTACCAGGTGTGAGCCGTTCTCCACATACCCTCGCACGTACGACCTCATACATGCCGCCTGGCTCTTCTCTGCTATCTCCAAGAGGTGAGATCTTGAAACAATACTGTCTTTTAGTAACAACGGACCTTAGATTCAGGGTTTTCTGGGCATATTCTCAGAGGAAGTGCTTTATGAACCATTTGTGACCCTCCCCATCCAAACTCAGTGATCGGTCCATTGAACTAACATTGTCAGTTCTTTGAGACCTGGAGCACCCCTCAGCCTCTGGTATGAGCCTATCCAATCACGCTGTCCCTCCCCCATCCGCAGCATATCCACCCTACCTACCTGCTTTCATTTCTCTGCTCTGTGCCATGCCACGGCACGTCCCACCAGGTGCGGTGTGCAGGTGGTGCCGCTGGAGATGGACCGCAACCTGAGGGAGCACTCCGTCCTTGTTTCCTCCATCCTTCCTCAAACCCCTCCTCCCTTCCCCCTCCCTTACTCCCTGTGCCCCGCCACGCCCCGCCCCACCAGTTGCGGCGTGCAGGTAGTGCTGATGGAGATGGATGGGGTCAGGGTTCTCTTTTGGAAAAAAACGTGTCTGAGCAATCAGACACGTTCTGCGCACTTTGTCTGATGCGCTTTTCAGGATCAGAGAATTTTGAAAACCTTGTCTGATTTTCCAGAGAATTTGAGAATCTTTGTCTGAAAATACAGAGAAATTCTACTGCATAGTCTTTTATTGTGTGTGACAATGGAAGATACAGTTTATCACTTTGATTAAGTTAGTACTACTTGCAAGTTACAAACGAACGAGCATGCAGGCAGATGGCCATTCCCTCCCTCCCTACATTAACGGTACCTACTCCTCATCATCATCAAATTCCGTCAGCTCCTCCTCTACCTCCTCCTCCACCTCCTCTTCCACCTCTCCGTCCTCCAGCCCATTCTCCTCAACCACAGCCATCCCCTTCCACTTCCGGATCTGAGCCTCGAGCTCTGCGATCTTCCTTCTCTTCTTTGCCTCGGCCTTGCTCTTCTTCTTCCTGGACATTGGGGCAAGAATGGGGGCAATTGCATCCTGGCTAGGCTAGCCTTGGCTTGGCGGCCTTCCATACGTCAACGATCTCATCCCACTGCATGTCGTAATCCTGCAGGAGGGAGATGCACACAAGGTCGCCCAAGCGGGCATCACAGAGGTTGCCCCAAGACCAGCTCTTAATGACGTTCTCGCGGGAAAATCCCCGCTCGCACTCCACCGTGCTCAATGGGAGCACGGCGGTTGCCACCCAAATCTTAACAGGATTGGGATAGGCATCTTCCCAGTCGCGTGTCCCCAGCATGTGCCGCAGGCTGACGTGGTACGCCATCTCCCCATGATGCGCGTCCATGATGTTGACGAATGAGGCCAGCTCTGCCTTGGCGCGTGTCTAGCTAACGCCTGGGAGGGGGAGGGGAGGGGTACATTGCGAGGGGAGGGAATCATCAAAGTGTGATTATAACGCATGGCATCGCACTCAGATAACAGGCACACTAAGTAAACATTAGAAGGGTAATCGATAAAAGCACTTGGAAAAGTATGTTGGTCTAGAGAACTTACCAAGCAGAGGCTTGTTGTTGAATAACTTTTTCAGAAGCGCCAGCCACTCAAGCGCTTTCTTCTCGCAGTCCGATCACGCAGTGGGATAGGCGCTTGAGAGAAAAAGCTTGGTTCCTCCGAGCTGCTGCAGGTCGCTGAACCTTGACTCGATGCAATCGATTGTCTCTTGGGCCATGGCACGGCACAACACAATGCAAGACTTCTTGTCGCTCTTGAACTCCGAGTCCGAAATCGACTTCGTATGAAGGATGTACTCGTGGCGGACTGGCTCGCCATCCTTCGCCTCCCCCTCGACGACCACACGACCTTCAGGCTCATGGGATGTCAAGAACTTGTGCAGGTGCTTGCTTCTAGGGCCGCCGAAAGAAGAGTCGCAGTTGATGTACCGTGCTCGAATCACCTCGGTGCTTTCCACCCTGGTGATGCCGACCTGCAAGTAGCACGAGAAAATCACATAGCCAGGGCATATTTAGCCCAGCATAGAACGTGCATGTGCGTGATCGAAAGTATGTGCGCGATCTGAAGCATTAGCGTATATGTTACCTGGCGACCCTGAAACTTCTTGTTAAGCCGGTTGAGCTCTGTCAGTAGGTCGGCAAGGAAGAAGAGGCAGAAGTGGAATTTATAGCCCCTTGCAACCTCGTATGAATCCCGGTCGTACTCGTGCAGCAGCAGGATGGCAGCGGAAAGAACTGCGACCAAGCGGAGTATTGCCTCGGCGCGTGAAAGCCAGCGGATGGCGAAGATAGACTCCATCTCCAGGAAGGTCTTCATCAGGATCTCCTGCAGCTCTCTGAAGCGGTCGTGCCACACTGAGGAGCGTCCCAAAATCTCAGCCAGCATCCTGATGATGTCGTCGATCATGTTGAAGTCGGGAAACTTCTTGGCAGCGTCCTTAGCTGCCAAAGCCTCGCTACTCAAACACGGAACATCATACATCAAAACCACGAAACATAAATCAGAACTAGTCGATGAAGTCGGGAAACCTGCCAAGGAAGTGGTGCTGAACTACGCCTCACCTGTGAGCAATGCAGTGAGCAGAGACGAGGTGCGAGACGAGGTGCGGCACGAGCTGCCGAAGGCGGGCGACCAGACCCTGTCGATCCTTCCTCATGACGCTGGCCCCATCTGTACTGATGCCTGAAACCTTATTGATGTCGACACCTGCCGATTCGAGATGGGTCTGCAAAACGGCTAAGAGGGATCCAGCATCGCACTTATGCACAATGAGTAAGGCAAAGAACTCAGTGACAGCCCTGTCGTTCTTCACGAATGTCACGTAGACAATTAAGTGCTTGCCGCGCCGTCGATCGGTACTTTCGTCGACGCTGAGACCGATGAAATGACTCTTCAGGATGTGCTCGAGCTGCTTCTGCCGAAGGTAATTCGCCGTCGCCTCTGTCAGCTAACTGAATCCGTACCTGCAACACATGGCAAGCAACGAGAAGCATTAGATGACTCTAGCAGTTCGAACAATGGGAGATTTGCGAAATCCAAAAAACTTACTCTGTGTGGTAGGTGCCGTAGTTGCTCTCGCCCAAGTTCGGCGTACCCTGCGAGGCCATGAAGTTCACCAGAGAAACATACATCAAGATCGGTGCGTTAGTTCTGCAGATGAATAACATCGCCATCAACAACCGAATGACACGTCTGCCTTCGACGTCGCCATTCGAGAAATCCTCGATGCGCTTCTGCTTCGTCTCGGCCCTCTCCTTAGCCTCCCTTTTCTCGACAGCGGCCTGGTGCTTCTTGGTACGCTGGTGCTTGCGCATCGTCTGCACCTGGATGTCTGCTCCGCCCTGTCCGCCTTTGCCGTACTTGCAGTTCTCTGACCGGTGCGCCCTGCAGATGTTGCACTTGATGGACCGGCGACCAAGATCGGTCTTGGTGAGGACGAGCCACGGAAACTTCTTCGACCACTCGGTTTCAAACTTGTGTTTCAGCTCTGCCTCATGTGCATTTTGCGTCCTCCTCGTCTTCGTCAGCATCATCGTTCTCCATATCTTCTGCGGAAGACGGGCCGGGCGCTGAACTCGGTGCAGAGTCAGGAGCCTTGGATGTGGCGCCCTTGAACCACGGCAGAGAAGCCTGCCGATTCTTTCGCTTCTTGGCGGAGGAGCGAGCTGATGCTTCGGCATCGGTTTCCAAGCGGACCACCGACGATGGTGTGGGCGACTGCGAGGGCTGAGGTAAGAACGGGCTGGACGAACGCGCATGCGACAAAGGAGGGGATGCTAGTGGCACGGGCCATGGCGAGGGCTCGGCTGAGGAAGGCGCAAGCATAGGGTCGATAGCGGCTGGGCGACGGGAGGTATCTGCAGCAGGGGTGCGCGACAGCTTTGAACGCAGGAAGTCTAGGCCTCGCATGGGAGGCGGGGATTCGCTACACCCTTCTGGCTGATCGTCGCCGTCAGCCTCGACAACGACAGCCATGTTGGCCCTACTTCGAGAGGGGAATCTAAACCTGAAACAGAACACGAGCAGAAGAACACAACGCACGACATCAACACTAGAATGTAAGAGAAGTGGATGGAAGAAACAGGCGGAGACGAAGGGAGCAAGAAGCAGTTGGGGAGGGGGTTTCTTGGTCAAGTGCCATGGCGGCACGGACTGGCAAGTGACGAGACGATGGGCGGGGCGACGCGTCGTGATGGGCGGGATGACGTACAGCGGTGCACGTATGCTGCAGCAAGTTCACTGCATGGGGTGAGGCATGGTCTGATCCCCGCTGTGCGCTGCAGACCCAAGTAACGCGCCGCAAAGGCCTCTGATTGGTCTGCTTTTCTGCAATACCGTAAAGTATCCAATCACATGTGCTCTAGCCACATCAGATGTTGCCACAGAAGGCTCGGGAAGGCTCACGTATGCCAAGAATGTGGAGGGGGGACAATGTGTGGCGACGCGAAAAAGGGAATATTCGCATGGGAGCACCTTACACCTGTATGTCTTTGTTTCAGAGAAACTCAAAACACTTGTCTAAAAATCAGAGAAACTGGTACACCTAGTCTGAAAATTTCAGAGAAATTTTAAAAGTTTGTCTAGTCCAATCAGAGTTTTTGAAAGCCCCTGTCTGAAAAATCAGAGAAACCCCTAAAAACCAGTGTGAAAATTAGACAATCAGACAAAAAAAGTCTGCTATTTAGGACCCTGGATGGCGTGCTGAGATGGAAGGAACGCCCGCTCCCACTCAACTCCACCTCCTCGGTTCTGCTCCATCCTTCCCCCGCCCCTCCACCTTCCCTCTCATCCTCTCTATCCTCTGTGCCCCGCCCCGCCAGGTGCTCGGTGGAGGTGGTGCTGATGGAGATGGACCGCATCTTGAGGCCGGAGGGTGCGGTCATCTTCCGCGACAGCCACGCCGTGCTGCGCACGATCCAGCCCCTCGCCAAGCGCCTGCGCTGGGACGCCCGATTCGAAGCCAACCGGCCCCGCGGCAGCGGGCGCATTCTCGTGTGCGTCAAGAAGTACTGGGTCGAAGGGTAGTGTCTGTATGTGGGGCGGCACAGCAGCAAACACTGGGTCGTCCAAGTGGTGTGAATCATTGCTGGCCCAACAGGATAGCTGATGTTTGTGAGAACAGTGGTACAGTAGCAAAGAGTAGACGAGATGGAGTAAGCAAAGATAACACAATGCGTTTGTACGTCGCCTGGAATGCTTTTTGCTACTCATTTTGATAGGGTGAATGGTGTATGACCAAGGATTGTTGCAGGAACATACCAGCAGAGGGAAAGGATTTTTGGGAATGTACTCAACTCAAATTAGTGCAGAGAATTATGGTTCATCTGGTTAGGTTGGTGCACACAGCAGGAAGTTTCTGGTGCATGATGCTAATTTAGTTATGATTACAGGGACAGTGTCCACAGAGAGAACTACTCAAGAAAGAGGGTGATTAGACTCTAGAGGCAACATGTGCTGTTGCCAACTTGGTTACAGCTGACAGCGTTCTTCTCCTTCGTCATGCAGATACTGGTAACGCTGCAACACCTGTTCGCCCAGCACACTCTGCCGTTCGCAGGCTGCACATTTCGCACGCAGTAATGTAACAAGGGAGAGGAGGGGAACCGGAGGGAACACAAGTCAGAGGAGAAAGGCAGCAGAATTGGGGGTAGGGAGAGGGGGCTGTGGAGGAGAGCAGGAGTGTGAAGGAACATGACGAAACGCAGCATGAGAAAGGTGGAGGGAGGAAGCAGGTACGGTAAGTGAAGCGTGCAGTCTGAAACTGAAACGTGCCGCAAACTGAAACATGCAGTCTGTTCTCGAGAATCCTCGGAAACGAGTGTCACTGAGGCGTGCGCTGCGCACTCACACTGCCACAGCACTTGCTGCCGCCGCAGAGCTCCATGGGCGCGAGGCAGAAGCCGTTGCAGCAGCGGAACGGCGAGCAGCATGCCACAGCCGTCTTGGCCGCTGTCGTGCTCAGGCACGTGGGGCACTGCTGCGCCGCTGCCGCTGGTGGTGAGAGGTTGAGGTGAGGGAGGGGATGGGGAGGAGGGAGAGGGGTTGTGGCGGGGAGTTGGGGGTTGGGGTGAGGGGGAGGCGGGGGGAGCAGAGGGAGAGAAGGGTTCGAGCGGATCAGACAAGGGACACAGACGGGATGGAGGGAAGACTAGTTGAGTCTAGGGAGGGAGGGAGAGAGATAGGTGGAGAGAGGACACGAACGGCATATGAACGGACCTTCAATCGACATGGATGGGCAGGCGAGAGGGAGCTAAGGAACCGTCAATTTTTTAGGCGCCTCAAAAATAGACTCCTCACGCGAGGGAGCTAAGGAACAGTCAGCTCACGTTGGCCGGAGTTTCCGTATTAACCTGTCCTGGAAACATCAACTCGCTCTCCTACGACCTCTCGAAGCACGGCACTCGGCAATCACGGCACTCGGCAATCACGGTGCTCAGAAAGCACGGCACTCGCCAAGCAGGGCAAGCGCGGGAAGCTTGGCACAGAGCAGGGCTCGGAGCAGTTCACAGACTCACGAGCGACGGCGAAGGTCCAGCTAAGAATATCGTGCACGGCGGGCGAGGCGGCGGAGGACGCCGTGAAGCCCACGAAGAACCCGGGCTTCTTCAGCACCGCGCACAGGTTCATCCGCCCGCGCATCACCGCCCGCCGCGGCCGCCTACGCCCGCGCCCCACGTACACCGCGAGGTCGCGCCCGTTGTAGATCACCCACGCGCGCCGGATCTTGGTGTCGTTTAGCGGCGCAACCAACATCTGCGCCGCGAGGGACTTTACCGAGTTGCGGAAGTTGATTCCCACGTGGCTCACTACCATCCCGCCCCTAGTAGAGCCGCCATCAGCGCCACTGGCGCTAAAACTGGGCTTCGGATCCCAAACGTTATGGTACGTTTCGAATTCTATCGCCAGCGCGCGCGAGCGGCGGTAGCGGACGCCGCCCCCGTACCCTAGATACCCGTCCGCCGGAGCCCAGATTGCGTAAGCGCTGCCACAGCACCATGGCGAAGCCGTCCGCGGGGCCGCTCACGCGGAAGGAGAAGACGGAGCTCCAGGCGAGCGCGCGGCAGGCGGAGCTGTTGGCGGAGTTGCCCGGGCGGTCGAGGAGCACGACGGGCGTGCGGAGAATGAGCGCGCCCGCGGAGTGCTCCGCGGAGGTGAGGCGCACGGCCTTTCGGTGGTAGGATGAGGCGGAACCGAAGAGATGGAGCAGATCCGTGGACTGGAAATTGGGGAACTGCACGCGACCTGGGGAGGGGGGGGGAGGGGGTGGAGGGAGGACGGGGGATGGGGGACGGGAACGTGAGCAGAGGGAGAGGGTCGGGGTGAAAGAGGCGAAGGAGACTCGGGGGGTGAATGGTGGCTATAGCGATGGGAAGTGGTGAGAGATTTGGGGAACTGGTAGGGCGGAGGGGGAAAGGCGGAGGGGAGGCAGTCTTGGGATTAGGTGGTTCAGTTTGGGGTGGTGACAGAAGAAAAGGAAGCACAGGAAGACAAGAACGAGGGAAGGAGCCTTGGGTGGGACGCGATGGAATCGATAAGGAAGAACTTCGCACGGAATGCGAGAGAAGTGAGAGGGCATGGGAGGAAGAGAAGCGAGGGGCGAGGAGTGAGGAGTGAGGAGAGGAGCGAGGAGCGAGGGGCGAGGGTCGAGGAGAGGAACGCGGGGGTCAAACGCACTGCTCAAGGGGACGGGTCTGAACGCGTGGCCATTGCCCTTGGCACTAGCGGAACCCAGCAGCAGCAGCAGCAGCAGCAGGCACGTCGTCGTAGCTGCCAGCAGCATCGCTCCAGGAGCCCGAGCCATGCTGCCGCTTGCCTTTCCCCCGTGCGCGCCTCACGCACTCCTGGGCGGTATCATCGCAAAAAACCTTCATTTCCGTTTTGGGTCTCGGTTTGGATTTTTGGTTCTATCGGGGTTGGGTTTCCGGCCTTTTTTTCCGCAGCCAAACCGCGGCTCGTTTCTGTCAGTTTTCCGTCGGAACTGCCGGAGCGGATATTTTGGGGCGAGGTTCACCCGAAATGTCTCGGAGGCGACGTGACGAAGTTGGAGCTTTGACTGGGTTACATCGCCACCTGGTTCGTCAGTTCGCGAGCCGAAATTTTCCGTGCAAATTCAGGCAGTTTGTTCACGTGTGACGCATATGTGTGCGCTTCGGGCTCCCTATACCCCATTTGAAATCACTCCCTCAGTTGAATACTAATCCTGCTGTTTTTTTGCAACGACATGTAATATAGCATTACACTTATTCCGGATTCCTCTATGTATGTACATGTGATAAATATTCTAAAGAAAAACGCACGATTCATGGAACGAGAGGATCACATGCAGGTGGCGCAATATGGCATTGATCGGAACCACATGGTAACCCCCATCGTCCTCACGCCAGCGAAGGCGTTCGCAGCGCGTCGGTATGTCCAACCCTCCAGCGAGCCACAAGCGGACAAATGCCAGATCCTCCCATTCTCCCCTGCGCTTGAGATGGAAGAGAAGGAACAGCCGGCCATACACCTCCTCTCCATCAAGCAGCAGCGCCACGTTCGTGTCAAACATGTGTATCTCCTATGTTTGCATAGACTGTATAGGGCCATCTCTTAGAGGGTACAACGCTTAGGTATATTCACCTGTACTCTCTCTCTACTAAATCATTCAGTTCTCACTTTGATATGGTATCACGCGTAGGTTAGGATCCCCCACCTACCGCTTCCGCTCCTACCCTCACTAGGCCCTGCCGTGCCCCTCCTGGGCCCTTCGTGCCTCCTAGCCCAGCCGCGCCCCTCCTGGGCCCCGTCGCGCTTCCTAGCCCAGCCGCGCCCCTTCCTGGGCCCTGTCGCGCCTCCTAGCCCTGTCGCGCCCCTCCTGGGCCCCGTCGCGCCTCCTAGCCCAGCCGCGCCCCTCCTGGGCCCTACCGCGCCTCCTAGCCCAGTCGCGCCCCTTCTGGGCCCCGTCGCGCCTCCTAGCCCAGCCGCGCCCCTCCTTGGCCCTATCGCGCCTCCTAGCCCACTCGCGCCCCTCCAGGGCCCCGTCGCACCTCCTAGCCCAGCCGCGCCCCTCCTGGGCCCTATCGCGCCTCCTAGCCCAGCCGCGCCCCTCCTGGGCCCCGTCGCGCCTCATTGCCCAGTCACGCCCCTCCTGGGCCCTATCGCGCCTCCTAGCCCAGTCGGCCCCGCGCCTGTCCTGCCCCGAGCTGTGTGCGGCCCGCTCGTCGTCACTGCCCCGGCCTTGCATCCTCCCTGGTACTGTCCCTCCTCACCTGCCCCGCACTACACTGCACCGCACCGTGCTGCACCGCACTGCACCGCACTGCACCGCACTGCACCGCCTTGCACCGCACTGCACCGCCTTGCACCGCACTGCACCGCACTGTATAGTCCTGCACTGCTCCTGATGGCGGCGGAGCTTCGCTTCGACGCTGAAGGCCAGCCACTAGAGTTCGAGGCGTGGCTTGCCGACCTCCGCCGCCACCTCACTGGTCATCGGCAGGATGGCCACCCGCTTTCCGCACACCTTGACGGTACGCTCCCCTGCCCAGACCCCCTTGCTGTGCTGCCCACTGACCCCACACTCGCTGAGCGCGAGTCCACTGCAGCCGCTGCCCTTGCACGCTCTGTCTGGCTTTCCCGAGACGCTGTTGCTCAGCTCGCCATTAGCAATGCCCTTCCCCTGCCTGAGCGCCCTCGCTTTAGGTCCATCCCTACCGCTCAGGCTTAATTAGATGCTGTAATCAAGCGCTATTCTGCCCCCCCTGCTGCCTCAATGGGCCGCCTGATCCTCCCGCTACTCTTTCCCGACCGTGCGTCTTTCCCCACTGTCTCTGACCTAGCTGCCCACCTGCGCTCGATAGATGAGACCTGGCGCGCTGCCTGCACTGATGCACAGCTTAGAGCCTACCAACCGCCCATGACCTCTACCCTCTACCTGCTTGCCACCCGCCTCCCTGACCGCCTTGCCGCCGCCCGCGACCACTTCCTTAGCATTCACCCCGGTGAGCTCACCCTCACCGACTTCGTAGACACCCTGACTGTTATCGAGACCCGCCACCTCTCCATCGCCCAGGCGAGCGGTACCGTACCGGTCCCTATCTTTCTGGGTTGTGCCCCCGCTCAGTGTACCTTCTCCGACGGCTCTGTCGCTGTGGCTGAGACTGCTGCTGCAGCGCAGTCTCGCTCGGGGAAGGGCCGCCGTCCCAAGGCTGGGTGCGGCGGAGGAGGCGGGGGTGCAGGAGGGGGTGGTGGTGGATTCGGGTCGTCGGGTGCCGGAGCGGACGAGGGGACCCTGCCCTGTCCAGCTGAGCCGCCGCCTCCGCAGTCGCAGCAGCAGCAGCCGCAGCAGTCGCAGCAGCCGCAGCCTCCGCAACAGCCGCAGCAGCCGCAGTCGACGAGGCAGGCGAGTGCCCTCTGGTGTGTCCCACGTCACCCCTCTTCTGTCGGTGGTCCCGGTTAAGGAGTCTTCTGACTCTGGTAGTCCTGCGGCGCAGTCCTCGCCGGCTGCCCCTCCCCAGGTGTCCCCTCCTTCACCGCCTCTGCCGCAGTCGTCACCTCAGTCGTCGCCGCCGCAGCAGTCGTTGTCGCTGTCGCAGCCGCCGCCGTCGCAGCACCCGTCCGTTGCCTCTGGGGGTGCTGGTGTTGGAGTGCGTGCTCGTCCCGGTAGCCCTGGTGGTGGTACCGGTCCTCGGGGGGTTTCGGGCCCTGGGGGTGTTCTCTCTGGGGGTGCTGGCGTGGAGTGTGCCGGAGGTCGCCGAGGAGCAGCTTGCGGTCCCGGTGCCGGCGTTGTGCCGCTGCAGCAGCAGTCCCCGCCGGTGTAAGCCCTTCCCCTGCTCGGCCTTCCGTCCCCCGACCCTGCGTCGGTTTCTCCCCGGCCGTCTCCTCCTCTTCTCGTCTACGGCCCTGTGTTCCCTCCGCCGGACTCGTCCCCGGCTCGTTTTCCCCCTAGTTCCCCCCCTGTGTCCCCTCCTCTGTCTCCTGACTCGACGCCTCCGTCCCACGTCTGGTCCCGCCGTCCCTCCCGCGCTCGTCCTGTCTCCCCTGTCCCGCGCTCTCATCCTAGGTTGCTCCGTTCTTACGCGTCTCGTCCTCCCCTTCTACCGCCGCCTCCTCCGTCCTCTCTTACCGTTGCACCTCCTCCTCTGTCCGACTACTTTCGTGCTGCTCGTCCTCTTGTTCCTCGTGTCCTCGCCTCTCTCGTTACCGACCCGTCTGTTCCGGTCTCGTGTCCTGACGCTCTTGTAGCTGCGGTCACTGACTTCGCCTCTACCCGCCGCCTTGACTACGCCACCGCTCTGGTCTCTGACCCTGCCTGTCCTTCATCTGTCGGGGGTGCTCCTGCCCTCGGCAGTGACGTCCTGGAGGACCGCCAGTTCGAGCTTGCTTTCCTGTCCGAGGCTGCTCCCCATCTCAGTTCCATGCTGCTAGTCCCTGAGGGTGACCCAGACGCTTTCGACATCCCGACCCCTCGCACTTACGCTGAGGCGACCTCGGGACCTTGGGCCTCGCAGTGGATAGCTGCCATAGAGCAGGAGATGGCATCTTGGAGATCCACCGGCACCTTCGTCGACGCAGTTCCCCAGCCTGGGGTGAACGTAGTCGATGGCCGCTGGCTCTTAAAGGTGAAGCGCCCTCCTGGAGAGCCGCCTGTGTTCAAGGCGTGCTACGTGGCTAGAGGCTTTAGTCAGCGTGAGGGGGTGGACTTCTTCCAGACCTTCTCTCCGACCCCGAAGATGACTACTCTTCGGGTTCTGTTACACCTAGCTGCTCAGCGTGACTACGAGCTTCACTCCCTCGACTTCTCTACTGCCTTCCTTCAGAGCAGTCTACCTGCGTCGCCCTCAGGGCTTCACTGGCACCTTCCCTCCTGGGACCCAGTGGCTCCTGTGGCGTCCTGTCTACGGCTTGCGCCAGGCTCCCCGTGAGTGGCACGACACGCTGCGTGCTACCCTTGCTGACCTGCAGTAATTTCCGTCTTCTGCCGACCCCTCACTCTTCGTTCATGCTGGCCAGACCCCGTTCTACATCCTTGTTTGCGTCGACGACCTGGTCTTTGCCACAGCAGACAGAGACGCACTGGCCTCCGTGAAGGCAGAGCTGCTGAAGAGATACACATGCACTGATCTTGGAGAACTGCGCCGTTACCTTGGCTTGCAGATCTCCCAGGACAGAGCAGCGCGCCATTTCGAACAGTGCTATGGAAAAGCAGAAGGGCAAAAATGACACTGTTTTATCGGCCACTATCTCTGCACGAAATCAGCCCCGTCAAAATATTTAAGAAGCCTTACTTCCCAACACACTCCTCCTTTGGGGACAGGTTCGTGCCGCACCTGCGACCGTCAAGAGCTGAGAGGATTTCGCTCTAGAGGATTTTTACAGTCAAATCACAACGGAATCCGCGACTTCGACGGTCGAGATCCTCCTTATTCTCAACCTTTGCTGACGTTTCGAATTCGCGCTGTAACTTGTGTCGATGTTTCTGCCCGTTTTTTTTGCTGCTAATGGTAGTTGACATTGCGTTTTTCATCCTGTTCGTTTTTTTCCCATTCGACCCGAGCTTGGAAAAATACGAATACTGTTCTTTGCTGCATAAAACGAGGAGGGTGTTATGTAAAATGCAACCCCCGAAAAGCGGGTGCTCTCCTAAATGCTTCCTATCATAAGCTCTACCCCGCATAAACCACCCACAGAGTGACTATGCCGGTGGGTGTTATAAACGGGGGATTACGGTATTATTACATTGTACATATTTAAATTAACCAATAGTCACATTTGTCTACAGCAGGGCCTCAAGTTGCAGACTTTTTACCGTGATTTAGGGTAAAATCAGGGCTTTTTGGGGGGGGTGACCCTGATGAGACAGGATTGTTTTAAGAGACAGATTGAATGCGCCAACCCATTTTTGTTTCTGACGCGGTCGTACGGTACTTTCCTTGCCCAATGCTAGCCTTGGTCCCTCTGCGCCTGCTGCCATTGAGAACCCTACAACCGCATAATACTAGGCATATATGGTATTACACACCGTGCTTTCTGTGTATAATCATGTTTACTCAGCGTTAAAATTTATAGGGTCCCTGATGGATCAGGGAAATTCATTTGGAGAGGCATGAAAATTCATGAGACCAATGTGGGGGGACCCTGAGCTATCAGGGTGCCTCTAAACGAATCTGAGGCCCTGGTCTACAGGTTCACAAATTGCTCGATGGTGTCACCCACATTTCCGCCTGAAATCACGTTGAGCAATGGGCGATCACGCGACTCGAACTTCTGTCGGAAGTTCCATCGAGACTCAACCAGCCCTCAGTCGCCCCACTATTCCGAATTCGGACGGAAGATTGGTACTGTTTTCCGTCGGGATTTGCCCCCCCCAGCTGAGTTCAGCCAAAAGTTCGCCGAGTTTCGACGACGTTGTTTTGTGACATCCAGCGCTATCCACGAAGCTTTCACAGCATCCTAAAAAACCTGGGTTTCTGTTTCGGGTCTCGGTTTGGATATTTGGTTCTCTCTGGATTGTATTTCAGGCCTTCTTTTCCGCAACCAAACCGCGGGCCGGCTCGGTTCTGTCAGTTTTACGTCGGAATTGCCCGAGCGGGAATTTCTGGGCGAGGATCGCCCGAAATGCTTAGCAGGCGACGTGACGAAATTGTATATTTCAATGGGTTACATCGCCACCTGGTTCGTCAGTTCACGAGCAGAGATTTTCCGTGCAAATTCTGGCTTTTTTTCTGTGCGTGACCCATACGTGTGCGCTTCGGGCTCCCAATAGCCCATTTGAAAGCACTCCGTCATGCTTATTGCCAATACATGTAACATAGCATCACATTTATTCACGATTCCTATATCTATCTACATGTGATACCTATTCAAAAGAAAAACGCACGAGTCATGGAACGAGAGGATCACATGCACGTGGCGCAAGATGGCATTGATCGGAACTACATGGTAGCCCTCATCGTCCTCCCGCCAGCGAAGGCGTTTGCAGCGCGTCGCATCGTCCAACCCTCCAGCGAGCCACAAGCGGACAAATGCCAGATCCTCCCTTTCTCCCCTACGCTTGAGATGGAAGAGAAGGAACAACCTGCCATACACCTCCTCTCCATCAAGCAGCAGCGCCACGTCCGAATACCAACGCTTCTTGTGGCACTCCGGGGTTGCCCTGACGTAATGCGCCACTCGAGCACCACGCTCCTTGACGGATGCCGGTACAGCCAATGACGTGTGAGCCTGCATGGAGGTGTGTATGGGCAGCTGTAAATTTCCTATATTGCTTGCGGTGTCCAGCGAGATTACGACGTGAAAGAAAGGAACTTACTCGCACTTTGGTGGCGCTCACTCCATAGCGCTCCAAAGCACCACCAAATGCCTTGTGCGCTTGAGGGTGTTGCTGAGCCCACTTCTCAAAGAACCAGTTCTTCTTGACTGGCTCAATAGGAGGTGTAACCAGAATGGTGTATGCCTCCTTGGTGAGGACTCGCTCCCCTGTGTCCATGGACTGCGCGAGCGCACGATGGTTGTTAAGCTCATGTGTTAGTGTGTTGCAAACATTTTCTTATGGTTTGTACCTTTTGCATGCACGTGTCACGAATGCCCTCCTCGTTGTCGAGCGTCAGGTACGCAGCCCGCCTCTCATGATGCTTCATGATCTGCGCATCGACATTCCTCTTGTTTGAGCGGCGGTAGATGCGCTTAAGGAGCGGGCCGTGGAGGTGCTCGAACATGTTGGTCGAGTACTCGGATACGTGACCCGCTCGGCGAATCGCGTCGGGGTAGTGCGACATCAAGTGTGTCTTGATGATGCACCACGACGATCTCTGCGAGGGGAATGCTTTCTGCAGCTTGGTGACCAACCTGGTGTTAGGGATTTCACATGTGATTATGACATAAAGATTGGTCCTACCTAGCAGGTGTTGAAACATAGAAAGTGTTCAACATTCACCAGAGTTTCAATCACGTCTAACGCACGGCAAATATGCTCCTTAATAGTTCACATCCAGAAATACCTGAGGGTCAACCCCTCAAGCTGCAGCAGAGAGCCCTCTGTGTGCCCTGGCACACGGCAGCAAAGGAGGTACCACTCCAGGTACAGCCGGAGTGCCTCCATCTCATCCGGCGTCAGCTTGTCCGCCACGATGAAGACGAGGACCTGGAGTTGGGAGTTTCGAGTAGGCAGCACAAGTGGGTACCGACGACAAATGAGATGGGCACAGCAAGCACATGGGTATGCGCCAAAGCGTGGTGTGGACGGCCGGATGATGTGAAGAAATGGAGGGCATCATAGGTGCAGCAAATGCGTGTGGCTGCTGAGGTGGAAATACCATGGGCAGCGTGTGCGCAACAGAGGAGGGAGGGACAGTTGCACCAAGGGCATTGAGGGAGGTAAAAAGGTCAGAGGGAGATGGGGCATGGCAGTGGGAAACACAAAGGGAGATGGGGCATGGTAGTGGGAATCAAAGAGGGAGATGGGGCATGGCTGTGGGAAACACAGAGGGAGATGGGGCATGGCGGTGGGAAACACAGAGGGAGATGGGGCATGGCGGTGGGAAACACAGAGGGAGATGGGGCATGGCTGTGGAAAACACAGAGGGAGATGGGGTATGGCTGTGGGAAACACAGAGGGAGATGGGGCATGGCGGTGGGAAAAACAGAGGGAGATGGGGCATGGCTGTGGAAAACACAGAGGGAGATGGGGTATGGCTGTGGGAAACACAGAGGGGGATGGGGCATGGCTGTGGAAAACACAGAGGGAGATGGGTCATGGCGGTGGGAAAAACAGAGGGAGATGGGGCATGGCTGTGGGAAACACAGAGGGAGATGGGGCATGGCGGTGGGAAAAACAGAGGGAGATGGGGCATGGCTGTGGAAAACACAGAGGGAGATGGGGCATGGCTGTGGGAAACACAGAGGGAGATGGGGCATGGCTGTGGAAAACACAGAGGGAGATGGGGCATGGCGGTGGGAAAAACAGAGGGAGATGGGGCATGGCTGTGGGAAACACAGAGGGAGATGGGGCATGGCTGTGGGAAACACAGAGGGAGATGGGGCATGGCTGTGGGAAACACAGAGGGAGATGGGGCATGGCTGTGGGAAACACAGAGAGAGATGGGGCATGGCTGTGGGAAACACAGAGGGAGATGGGGCATGGCGGTGGGAAACACAGAGAGAGATGGAGTATGGCGGTGGGAAAAAGAGAGGGAGATGGGGCATGGCTGTGGGAAACACAGAGGGAGATGGGGCATGGCGGTGGGAAAAACAGAGGGAGATGGGGCATGGCTGTGGAAAACACAGAGGGAGATGGGGTATGGCTGTGGGAAACACAGAGGGAGATGGGGCATGGCTGTGGGAAACACAGAGGGAGATGGGGCATGGCTGTGGAAAACACAGAGAGAGATGGGGCATGGCTGTGGAAAACACAGAGGGAGATGGGTCATGGCGGTGGGAAAAAACAGAGGGAGATGGGGCATGGCTGTGGGAAACACAGAGGGAGATGGGGCATGGCTGTGGGAAACACAGAGGGAGATGGGGCATGGCTGTGGGAAACACAGAGGGAGATGGGGCATGGCTGTGGGAAACACAGAGGGAGATGGGGCATGGCTGTGGGAAACACAGAGAGAGATGGGGCATGGCTGTGGGAAACACAGAGGGAGATGGGGCATGGCTGTGGAAAACACAGAGGGAGATGGGGCATGGCAGTGGGAAAAACAGAGGGAGATGGGGCATGGCTGTGGGAAACACAGAGGGAGATGGGGCATGGCTGTGGGAAACACAGAGGGAGATGGGGCATGGCTGTGGGAAACACAGAGGGAGATGGGGCATGGCTGTGGGAAACACAGAGGGAGATGGGGCATGGCTGTGGGAAACACAGAGAGAGATGGGGCATGGCTGTGGGAAACACAGAGGGAGATGGGGCATGGCTGTGGGAAACACACAGAGAGATGGAGTATGGCGGTGGGAAAAACAGACGGAGATGGGGCATGGCTGTGGGAAACACAGAGGGAGATGGGGCATGGCTGTGGGAAACACAGAGGGAGATGGGGCATGGCTTTGGGACACACAGCGTGTGTACCTGGAGCACGGCGCGGTGCTCGAATGCCGCCAGGTTGGCACCGGTGGCGAAGTACGTCGTCTCCGGGAAGCGGAGGTGGGTGATCCGCGTGTGATCCCGGATGTACGAGAGGCGCCTGGGGGTGGGCATGGGTAGCAAGGGACGACCCGCATCTGAGTGTGTGCAATATCTCGAATCGGGAGACAAGGGCAAAGGGTGGGGTCATGCATACCCGTCAAAAACCCCCAGCTCCCTGGGGAGCTTGGTGCGGATGGCAGCCAGGATGTGGTGCAGGATCCCAAGGTCCGCCTGGTGCATTATGTCTGGCATGATTGCCAGGTAGGGGTTGCTCCAGGGGGCACGCGGGATCTCCCACTTCCAGAGCACGCTCTGCAAAGGCACACCCGGGAATGAGGCGACATAACATGTTGTTGGAGGTCAGGGAAACATGGACTGTGGGGGTGGGGAGCACAAGGCAGGTCGAAAGGGTGTTGGGTGGGACCACGTCGCGCATGGAGTATACCTCGGAGGGGAAGGTGGAGAAGAATGATCCCACGGTCTTCTCCGGATTCGGGGAGAGAGCACGGTGGTTCGCCACAATCCAGCGCTGGTCGGACACCGTGCGGGTGACGTTGGGCGACTGGACTGCCCACAGGTGGTCCTGCACGTGGCAGTGGGACCAGCGTTGCACGGAGCAGGGTTTCGGAGAGAACAGAGGTGACAGCGAAATCAGCTAGCCAGGGTGGAGAGTGCGGGGGGGGGATGGAACTGGGTGGGCTTACCTTCTGCGCATAGCAGATGCTGCAGGGTCTCTCCGTCCCGCCCGACAGTGTACCGCTGATCTTCCCGCTCTCAGGATAGTCGCACGCCCACGCATAGAGCCTCGGCTTCACCACCCGCTCCATCCCGTTAGGGTCCTTCAGCAAGAAACCCCTGCCGGAGCCAAGGAGGGGCGAGCAAGGAGAGGGGAAATGCGGAGGTGCGGGCAGGGTAGACAAGGGCATGCAAGGGAGGCATGAGCAGGGAATGCAACGGCTGGTGAAGGCATGGCAGGGATAGTTAAGGCAGGAAAACCCAGGGCAGGGAAATCCAAGGCAGGGAAATCCTATGCAGGGATAGCAAAGGCAGGAATAGCCAAGGCTGGGATAGCCAAGGCTGGGATAGCCTTGGCAGGGATAGCTAAAGCATGGATAGCCAAGGCAGGGATAGCCAAGGCAGGGATAGCCAAGGCAGGGATAGCCAAGGCAGGGATAGCCAAGGCAGGGATAGCCAAGGCAGGGATAGCCAAGGCAGGGATAGCCAAGGCAGGGAAATCCAAGGCAGGGAAATTCAAGGCAGGGAAGTACAAGGCAGGGAAAGCGAGGGCTGGGGAAGCCAAGGCATGGAAAGCCAATGCAGGGAAAGGACGCGTGCGGATGGCCAAGAATGCGGACAGGGGCGGATGCGGCGGTGGGAAAGATCGTTCTCACCTCTCCATTCCGGCGAACAGGGGCTCTAGCGCGGTCACCGCGAATCGATCCCACAGCTCGGTCTTCTACGCCGATGGCATTGAGCGGGGCGGGATGGGGAACGTGCCAAGCAGGCAGTGGCCGGATGTGGCCCATCGCTTCGTCTGTGAGACGTTAGCAAGGGTCATCATCAGCGGGTGGGCCTTCTTCCGGCCGTTCTCGCTCAGATGAGTGACGTCGCTGTAGAGGATGACCGCCCCAACGAACGCATCCTCACCGATCTCGGCCTGCCACGATTACACGCGCAACAACGTAGGAAAATGGGGCAGGGAGGATAGGATTGCATGGTGCAGCTGCCTAATATTTGCCGTCAAATGAATGGCATGGGTCCAACGCATGGGACGGTTCACGCATTAGCAGGTGCGGGTATACCTGAGCGTCGTGCCACCATGTGCCCGTGTCGGGGGTGGAAAACTGCCGCTGTCCAGTGGCAGGGTCGCTGTCAATCCGTGGCCGAAGCATGAAGCCCTCCGCATTGTTCGGATTGCCGTAGATGTCAGCAAACGCCTGCGAGAGGAGGCACACGAGGCATACAAGCCAGAGTTAGGTCATGGCAAGCCTACGTATTAGGGGCAAAGGAGGCTTGACAGTGTTGGGGGGCTGGAAATACGCCCCTAGTCACTCACTTGCGAGGCGTCGCGGAGGTGCATGGTCTGCGGCGGCTGGCCCTCGACCTGGAAAGTGACAGTGGACCATCCGCGCCCGAGGCCATCGAGTTGCTCCAGCTCGAATGCTTCCATCTCGCGGACATTGGTGTACACAGAGAGCACACGCTGGGCCATCTCGGGGTGCATGAACAACTGCAGCAGCCGGTTGACATCAGCGTTGGCCATGCCAATGCGCCCGTTCACCTCCCGCACGAAGTGCAAAAAACGCAGCGCCGCGACGTTCAGCACTGGAGGCTGATCGGCCGTGGCCTGCAGCGGACGTGGAGCGTCTTCAAAGTCCCTGCGGACCTGCTCCTCTGCCCAGAAGCGTTCCTCCTCATCATTCTCCTCGCGGCTGGTGGCAGAGTCGCTTACGGTGGACGAAGTTTCGTCACCGCCGTCCGAATCTGAGTCGGACTCAAGGTCTGGCATGTCGTCGTCCTCCTCGTCGACGGGACGTGCGTCGCGGATTGTATCTAATCCAAGGAATGGGTTATGCTCAGCGCCGCGCGCTGCCCGGGCCTGATTAGACCGGATGCCCCGGCGGCACAGGGGGTGGGAACCCCTGTGCTGGCCAAACGCCTGGGCATTGCGAAACGAACGATCGCAGAACTCGCAAGTGACTGGAGTAGATGACCTCATGCTGGGCATCCAGGTCCTAGAGAGCCATTGTCTAGACCGATAACGTGGGTAGCACGTTTCAGAATATATACTAGGTCTAGCACGGATACACTAGGGCGCGTGAGCCTAGGCACGTTCCGTGTCGCCCACAGCGCTCCACGGTGGTCACTCTTAAGTGGTGTCGCACAGCTAGATACGTGGAGGCAATTCGACTAGGGGGAATGAGCTGCGCGTGATTCGGGGATCACTCCAACGTGGTGTCGCACATCCAGGTTGGTTTGAATGTCTATGACTAGCCAGAGTCGAGCAGCGCGCTTCTCGGTGGTCACACCTGTGTGGTGCCGCGCAGCTTAGTGCGTGGTGGCTGTTAGACTAGCGGGGAAATATTGCCCTAGCCTCTGCTCAACAGCTGAGGAGTGACGCACAAAACAGATCTGTGGTTGTGGCAGGATTTCCGCTTCCAACCGATGCGCTGGCGCAATCGGACACGAGTATGGTTCGGGCGTGGGACATCGGGTCCGTTTCGCCCTGGTCAAGTATGATTGGGTGGTTTAGAGGCGGTTTTGATGTGGTAACGATCGTTGAATACGTGGTTGGACACGGTACCTACCCAGCTTTGGAACGTGATATTGCCAACTGGACCTGTTGTCCCATACCCTTAGAGCGTGTTCAGAAAGCTCCGATGTCAGTAGTATATTGACGCCGACATCGGGGTCGGGGTACTCTGAACGAGCTTTTCGCGTTTCCAACTGAGACACGAGTGTTGAGCCTGCTGATGTTGCGTTGTACAGCAATGTAGGATCGTCGTAACTGTTAAACATAATACACTGCTCCAACTAGTAAGTGCAAAGGTATGAAATAGATACGTGGCAATCCGAACCATGCAATTCTATGCTCACACATTCGATTGGACCACAAATAATAGTGCTGTTGCATCTGCCCTATGTGGAAGGCTTCTCTACCACATTCCAACATTACGCTTTCCTAGGGTAATGGAGTGGCGTACAGTTCTCACTTTATCCTCATGACCTATTCCGATTGAAGTGGATGTCTATGCTTGCGCCGTAAATCGTGCACATGTATATGTTCAAAGTTTACAGCAATGCGCAAGTGCGCGCGGCAGGTCTCTCGCTTCATATGGGCTAGAGGGTGGCTGAGACCAGATGGAGCAGCAATGCAACACTGGCCGCTGCGTCTCGGCAGTATACCGAGCTTGGGTTGCACGACGATTTGTTACGCCAGGTTAGGAGTGCCCTGGGCAGTGCACTGCACAAGACGTGACTGCTGGCCAAGTTTCACACCCTGTGTTGCACGTGCTTGGGAGACACGGCAGTTCGCGTATCTTGGTCGCTCGTTTCGTGCAGATAGAGAGAGGTCGATTGAAGAACGCTGCGGATTCGACGTCCCCGCGAGTTTTGATGCCGGTTTTGGAGTGGCCTGGGCAAAGCACACAACAAGAGGGTATTCATGGCCAATTCTCAAACCCTGAGCAGCACGTGCGTGAGCGTGACGGATGTCTCTGTGTCCTGGTCGCTCCTTTCGTGCAAGGAGAGAGATCGATTGAAGAACGCTGCGGATTCGACGTCCCCGCGAGTTTTGATGCCGGGTTTGGAGTGGCCTGGGCGAAGCACACAACAAGAGGGTATTTATGGCCAATTCTCAAACCCTGAGCAGCACGTGCGTGAGCGTGACGGATGTCTCTGTGTCTTGGTCGCTCCTTTCGTCCAAGGAGAGAGGTCGATGGAAGAACGTTGCGAATTCGACATCCCCGCGAATTTTGATGCCGGGTTTGGAGTGGCCTGGGCAAAGCACACTACAAGAGGGTATTGCTCGCCAATTTTCAGACCTTGCGCAGCACGTGCGTGAGCGTGACGGATGTCTCTGTGTCCTGGTTGCTCCTTTCGTCCAAGGAGAGAGGTCGATGGAAGAACGTTGCGAATTCGACGTCCCCGCGAATTTTTATGCCGGGTTTGGAGTGGCCTGGGCGAAGCACAATACAAGAGGGTATTGCTCGCCAATTTTCATACCTTGCGCAGCACGTGCGTGAGCGTGACGGATGTCTGTGTCCTGGTTGCTCCTTTCGTCCAAGGAGAGAGGTCGATGGAAGAACGTTGTGAATTTGACGTCCCCGCTAATTTTTATGCGGGGTTTGGAGTGGCCTTGGCGAAGCACACTACAAGAGGGTATTTCTCGCCAATTTTCAAACCCTGAGCAGCACGTGCGTGAGCGTGACGGATGTCTCTGTGTCTTGGCCGCTCCTTTCGTGCAAGGAGAGAGATTGATCGAAGAACGCTGCGAATTCGACGTCCCCACGCATTTTGATGCCAGGTTTGGAGTGGCCTAGGCGAATCACATTACAAGAGGGTATTGCTCGCCAATTTTCACACCCTGAGCAACACGTGCGTGAGCGTGACGGCTGTTTTCGTGTGTTAATCGCTTGTTTCGTGCACGGACCGAGCGCATTTTATGAACGACGCGAATTCGATGTCCTGGTGGAATTTGGATCCTGGGTTTGGAGTGGCGACGAGGGCACGGTTGCGGATGAGGAGGGGAACGCGGGCCGGCGCGAGGCTGGGGATGGGCATGTGGGCGTGGCCGCAGGCGCGTATGGACCCTGAGCTCGCGAGCGGGTGAAGTCCAAGACGGCAGAAGTCCAAGAAGGCATTGGTGCAGCGGCATCGGTGTGTGCAGTTTACTCCACACCGGGTGGCGAGGAGCAAGGGGGCGGGTGTTGGGAATGAGAAGTCTTTTGCAGCTTACTTGATGGGGTCTCTATTTAGGATGCTATCGGCATGGCACTGCAGCGGGCCAAGGCGCGGGTCATCTTGTTGCGTGCTGCTTCTATGATGGGTGGGCCTGACATTATGCGGGCGGATCAGGGGGTTGGCGAGCGGGAGGACGGGTGGGGGGCCCGCGGGCGGATGCACACTACCTGGTGGACCTGCACACTAACATGCAGTGCTAGTATTCATAGTATGTTGCCTAAGCATGTACAATAAATTACATTCCAGTGTACGGAAATTTGGGATACAACCATGTTCAAGCAAGAGCTCAATGCACTACAGTACAATGGGACGGGCTGTTCGTTGGCATCGACTACAGTGTAATGGTGGTGGTCTCAGCCAGGCTGGCGGACACTTGCGATTAGCGACAACTAGAAGTGCTGCTCACCGTTAGTTTAGAACCAATGGCTGGAAAGGTCTTTCCTGCGTTGTTGATGTCGCCATATTTTCCAATTGCGGAACACGCGTGAAAGAGTTCTGCCCAGGCAGTGCTGTACTGTTTTTTTAATCCAGGTTGTCGGGTGACTCTGCGTTGCACATGTCGGGGGGCAATTTCGACTGCCCATTCTCAAGTTCGCGTGCGAGTGTGCATTCTCATCGTTTAGCGGGCCTATCGTGTCAGTCGCCCGTTACCCAACCGCCCTTTATCGCAACGCCCCGCCAGACCCTGTTCTGAAACCCTAAAAGAAAATATGCAACTATCCAACGCCCTGAAACACAGCCAGCGCGACCCCGACCGCGTGTGTGTGCGTTGCGGTTTTGGGGGGCTTCCCAAAACCAGTCTCGCCAGTACTGTACACCTGCCCGAACCGAACCCTGCGCTGCTGTCTTGGTGTGTGCGGTGTCTGTTAACTGTGTTAGGACCAATGTGAGAGAGAGCTGAACCAGCACTGCTTAGATCGATCCACACAATTACAGCTTCTTCGTCCATCGAGGCAGCGGGAGGATAGACTAGACTCCTTCCTTCCTCCCTCTCCCACTCCATCCGTCACCCTGATAGCTCCCTAGTCATTCAACGGCAGTCCCTCGCCCATCTCACGTTTTCCCGCCTTCGCTCGTCTCACGGCGGCCCACCCGATCGCCCTTTTCCTGCTGTCTGTCGTAACGGATCCCCACGTTCCCCCTGGCTGCACTCCCTTGGAGCACGCCAAGCCAGTAGCAGCGGCGCTCAAGGCGAGAGTGTCATAGTGCCCTGTCTCCCGCGCGCGTCTTGCCCTTGTGCACCGGCAATGAAAGGCGGCACCGTACCCAGACTTGTTTCACACCCGCGATAGACGGCCATTCAAGGGCACGCATAGGCAGCGGCACGCGCGACGCACAGTGTGTGCTGAAAGGCCGCCTCGACACGTGTGGTGGCGAGCGAGTGGCGACCAGGACACGGAAGGCCGTGCGACGTGCCCGCACTCATTTGACGGGCGATTCGACGCCACCTTTGCGCGGCTCCGAGATCTATCCCCGCCACACCCCGTTAGCGCCGCTGCAGGGCGAACGCATCTCCAGCGCCACGCATATCTCAAGCCGTGCATCGCCAGCGCCACGCATCGCCATGGCCACGCATCGCCAGCGGCACGCCAGCAGCCAACGGCACGCATCGCCAGCGGCACGCATCGCCATAGGCACGCATCGCCAGCACCACTCGTCAGACTGCGCGGCACGTCTGACGCAGACATGGCGACACCATCCTCGGTTCGCTCCTCGTCGTGGCTCCTATCCCTACCCCCTTCCACACTCCCCTCGTCCTCCCTCGGCAAGACAAGGCCGTCATTGCCCGTGTCGCCGCGAGCGATCGGCCCAGGAGGCGGGTGTGGAGCTGGCCTGGCCGTACATATGCAGCTTCCCTCCTTTGGATGCTAACACAGTTAGACACCAGTCCCTGCATTAGCTACCAACGACGTCATGGGGCACAAGCACAAGCGTCGGGGTGATAAGGCAGAGGGCACGCGCAAGCACAAGCGTACGCATGCTGATGCGCGACCGATGCAAGCGCTGCCAAGCCTTCGTGAGGGGCAGCCACTCCAGCAGCATTCACTCCAGCAGCAGCCATTCGAGCAGCAGCCACTCCAGCAGCACCTTCTCCAGCAGCTGCTTCTCCAGAAGCAGCCTCTGCAGCAGCAGCCTCTCCAGCAGCAGCCTCTGCACCAACAGCCTCTGCAGCAGCAGCCTCTGGAGCAGCAGCCTCTGCAGCAGCAGCCTCTCCAGCAGCAGCCTCTGCAGCAACAGCCTCTGCAGCAGCAGCCTCTGGAGCAGCAGCCTCTGCAGCAGCAGCCTCTCCAGCAGCAGCCTTTGCAGCAGCAGCCTCTCCAGCAGCAGCCTCTGCAGCAGCAGCCTCTCCAGCAGCAACCTTTGCAGCTGCAGCCTCTCCCGGTGCAGCCACAGCTTCAGAGCCAACTGCCACGTCACCACGGGGGCAGCGGCGTCCGTGCTGCAGAGGCCATCACCGACGCTCCATGTGCAGCGGCCGGTGAGGGGGGAGAAGACGAGGAGGGGGAAGGTGACAGCAACAGTAGCGAGAGCGAGTCCGGCGAAGAGGGCGACCAGAGGCACGCCCAGTCTGGCTCCGGCACGGATACCAGCTCCTCAGAGTCATCTTCGGATTCTGAGTCTGCCGACGAAGCTAGCTCGGAGGGCGAGGCGGAGCAGTCTGCTTGCATGGGGCAGGCTGCGGTGGCCGAGACGGCGGCGGGCAAGAACGACGTTACTTTTGATAAGCTCTTCGCCTCCCCAGCTGAGGCGGCAGTGGCCGCTGTGGGGCAGAGGGACGGGTATGACATGGACGACGAGGACCAGCGTGCCATGAACAGGGGTCGCTACATGAAAATTGGAGCGGCGGGCGGTGCAGCTGGGGAGGGTGGGAAGATGAAGACGCGGAACGGCGGGCAACGGCAGAAGGCAGCCGGAGAGGCGGGCGACGTTAGGCAGGAACGGTCGGGGCGCGGACGCGGCAGGGCGGGCTCGCCCACGCCGTCTGGTCGCCGTCTCCAAGAAGCGACTGGGAAGGCAAAGGGCTCCCGAGGTGAAGGCACGCCAGCGTCAGTTTTGGTGTCATCGTCTGTCTGGCTCGTGACGTTGTTACGTACACTTCATTGCCTGTTCTGTCCCTTGCTCTATGCCATACAGGCTTCTGCTATGCTAGAGCGTTGGCAGTGTTCATCGTGGTGCGCGGACTCATCACACTGCATTACAAACTCGCGGCACCAGAAATTGGTCCCTGTACCCTATGCGTCCCCACCCCACTTCCCCCGTGCAGGTGCAGGTAACCCCAAGAGCGGGGGAGTGGCAGAGCCGGCCAACGGAGACAAGCGGGGCAAGGACGGCAAGGGGAAAGGTGCGCCCAAACCCGGTTTGGCAGAGTGCTTGAAGTGGCGGGTTTGGGAGGGGTCCAGTTGTAGCCGGCCTGGGTAGGAGACGAGAGGAAGCGGGGTTGGGAGGATTTCAGTGGTAGCTCGGGTTGAGAGAGAGGCGCCCCCCTGTTTCCTTGACATGACTGTTGCAATGCTATCATCCCGGCCCATCGTGCAGGGAAGACCAAGCAGAAGAGAGCACCGGAGATGCAGGGTACGTGCACCGTTGACCGTTGCTGCTGACAGACACCATGCAACTACAGCGCCCCTGCCCTTGCCCTCGCCCTGACGTGTGCAATGCCTCTGCCCTGGTTTCCTTGTCACGTATGCTTGCGGTACCCACTGGCATGCCAGTGCATTATGTATCCCTATTATGCGCCTGTTGACAGTCTGACATTCACGTGCACCCTTTTGCCACAACTGCACACCATGGTACACCCTACCCTTTGTGTACAGCCCCCCCCCAGTCTGGCCTCGGTCCGCCGGTGGTGCAGCAGTTTCAGCTAGGCACAAGACGCATGGCGCCGACAGGTGGAGCCACCCTAACCTCGACCCTGCGCTACAATGACGCTGCCCCCAACACCGCCGCAGTGGTCCTCCCATCTTCCAGCGCTGGGCCACGCGCGCTACGTGCCGTCCATGAGAAGGCGTCGAAGAAGAAGTACGTCTCTAGGGCTGAGCTGATGGCTGAGCTGGACCGTATGAAGACCGCACTGCTGGCCACTGTCACGGCCTTCATCGACGGGCAGCGGGCGATGTACGCAGCTGGTCGGGTGGCGAATGGGAATGGCCCGGCGTCCACTGGACAGGGAAGCCAGGAGGAGCCGAGTCCAGCCACGTTGGCTCGCCGTGAGGTTCTCCTGGCGGCGGAGGACTTCAAGGTGAGCAGGATATGGGCTGGCAGGTGCGTGGCTTGGGTGGGTGCTCGGGTAGGACCCGGGCCTGGGACGGTTCTGTCAGAAGCCGATCGCGGTACGGTATTGGCCAGGGTAGCAGTGGCGGCATGCGTGTAACAGTGCCGTCAGTTGATAGCAGTGCTAGTGTCGGTACATTTGCTTGGCTTGGTAGCGCCGCTTGGCTTGTTAGTAGTGTCTAGGCTTGGTAGCAATGCTTGTCTTGGCAGCACTGCCTGGCTTGGCAGCAGTGCGTGGCTTGGTGGCACTGCTTGGCATGGTAAGAGTGCATGGCTTGGCAAGAGTGCATGGCTTGGCAAGAGTGCATGGCTTGGCAAGAGTGCATGGCTGGGCAAGAGTGCATGGCTGGGCAAGAGTGCATGGCTGGGCAAGAGTGCATGGCTGGGCAAGAGTGCATGGCTTGGCAAGAGTGCATGGCTTGGCAAGAGTGCATGGCTTGGCAAGAGTGCATGGCTTGGCAAGAGTGCATGGCTTGGCAAGAGTGCATGGCTTGGCAAGAGTGCATGGCTTGGCAAGAGTGCATGGCTTGGCAAGAGTGCATGGCTTGGCAAGAGTGCATGGCTTGGAAGCAGGGCGTGGCTTGGCAGCAGTGCGTAGCTAGGCAGCAGTGCGTAGCCTGGCAGCAGTGCCTAGCTTGGCAGCAGTACCAAGCAGTGCATGGCTTGGTAGCAGTGCATGGCTTGGCAGCAGTGCATGGCTTGGCAGCAGTGTGTGGCTTGGCAGCCGTGCGTGGCTGGGCAGCAGTGTGTAGCTGGGCAGCAGAGCGGGGCTTGGCAGCAGTGCCTAGCTAGGCAGCAGTGCCTAGCTAGGCAGCAGTGCCTAGCTTGGCAGCAGTGCCTAGCTTGGCAGCAGTGCGTGGCTTGGCAGCAGTGTGTGGCTTGACAGCAGTTCGTGGCTTGGCAGCAGTGCGTGGCTTGGCAGCAGTGCCTAGCTTGGCAGCAGTGCCTAGCTTGGCAGCAGTGCCTAGCTTGGCAGCAGTGCCTAGCTTGGCAGCAGTGCCTAGCTTGGCAGCAGTGCCTAGCTTGGCAGCAATGCCTAGCTTGGCAGCAGTGCCTAGCTTGGCAGCAGTGCGTGGCTTGGCAGCGGTGTGTGGCTTGGCAGCAGTGCGTGGCTTGGCAGCAGTGCGTGGCTTGGCAGCAGTGCGTGGCTTGGTGGCAGTGCGTGGCTTGGCAGCGGTGCGTGGCTTGGCAGCGGTGCGTGGCTTGGCGGCAGTGCGTGGCTTGGCAGCAGTGCGTGGCTTGGCAGCAGTGCGTGGCTTGGCAGCGGTGCGTGGCTTGGCAGCAGTGCGTGGCTTGGTAGCAGTGCGTGGCTTGGCAGCGGAGCGGGGCTTGGCAGCAGTGCGTGGCTTGGTAGCAGTGCGTAGCTTGGCAGCGGTGCGTGGCTTGGCAGCAGTGAATGGCCGTGCAGGTGCAGTGCGTGGCTTGGCAGCAGTGCGTGGCTTGGCAGCAGTGCGTGGCTTGGCAGCAGTGCGTGGCTTGGCGGCAGTGCGTGGCTTGGCAGCGGTGCGTGGCTTGGCAGCAGTGCGTGGCTTGGCAGCGGTGCGTGGCTTGGCAGCAGTGCGTGGCTTGGCACCAGTGGGTGGCTTGGCAGCAGTGCGTGGCTTGGCAGCGGTGCGTGGCTTGGCAGCAGTGCGTGGCTTGGCAGCAGTGGGTGGCTTGGCAGCTGTGCGTGGCTTGGTAGCAGTGCGTAGCTTGGCAGCAGAGCGGGGCTTGGCAGCAGTGCCTAGCTAGGCAGCAGTGCCTAGCTTGGCAGCAGTGCCTAGCTAGGCAGCAGTGCCTAGCTAGGCAGCAGTGCCTAGCTTGGCAGCAGTGCCTAGCTTGGCAGCAGTGCATGGCATGGCAGCCGTGCATCTCGCTCAACCCTAAACTCTCCCATCTCATCATGTCCTAAGCTCCCCTCCCCATCTGTGTCCCGTCCACCCCCAACCCCCTCCTATTCCCTCCCCATCCCCCTTTCACATGCGCTGCCCCACACGCTAGCCGACCACTCCAACACCCCACCCCCCACCCCTCGAAACCCTCATGTCCTACTCCAAATTTCCGCCCACCTCCCCTCTGCTCCCCCCACGCCCTCGAATCCTGTCCCCCATCGTTGCCCTCTGCAGAGGTGTGGGGTCTGATCTGGCACGTCGATAAGCCGCGGATGTGGCCGTTCTCGACCCTGATCTTTGCTGTGGGGTTTCGCAGGGGATTCAAGCGGCGCCACGTCCAAATGAGCTGCTATAAGACCCGCCAGATCGCCTGGGGGCTGTACGCGGTGAGTGCACACTCGCCCTATCCCTAGCAATATCGCACGCCCAACAACCCTTCCATGTCTCCATCCTCCATAAACTCATCCCCCCCCTTCCTCCCCCTTCACCCCCCCATCGTCATCTCCCCCCACAACCCTCGTTTGCCTATCTCTCCTGTCCTTTGTCGCCCCCCGAAATTCACGGCCACAGTTGGAGGCCACACTGCACAACTACAAAACCGCCGAGGGAAAGCTGAGCCAAGACAGTGAAGACAATCGCCGGGGGTACGAGGCCATGGTGTTGCACTGCCGCAGGTGGGTGGAGCACGCCGTGGACAACCTTGGTGTGCCGTACGACGACGAGGCCGAGGTTTTCGAGTTCGGCAATGGGGTGCGCATTGATGCGTCCGACTACCCCGAGCTCGTGGCACGCACCCTCGCCCGCATGAGGACGGCCGGCGCCCTTGCATGAGTGGCGGAGGCAGGTGGTGAGGCGTGGTGGAGGTGGGGCAGCTGGAGCAGAACGAGGGGGGGGGGAGAAGCCAACAATGGCAGGCATGCGTGGCGGCAGCAGAATAGACTTGGGCAGCAGAAGCGGAGGAGGCCAGGGCAGCAGCGGCGGCAAAGGCCAGGGCAGCAGCGGCGGCAGAGGCATGGGCAGCAGCGGCGGCAGAGGCATGGGCAGCAACGGCGGCAGAGGCATGGGCAGCAACGGCGGCAGAGGCATGGGCAGCAGCGGCGGCAGAGGCATGGGCAGCAGCGGCGGCAGGGGCATGGGCAGCAGCGGCGGCAGAGGCATGGGCAGCAGCGGCGGCAGAGGCATGGGCAGCAGCGGCGGCAGAGGCATGGGCAGCAGCGGCGGCAGAGGCATGGGCAGCAGCTGCGAGGCATGGGCAGCAGCAGCGGCAGAGGCATGGGCAGCAGCAACGACAGGCATGGGCAGCAGCAGCGGCAGAGGCATGGGCAGCAGCAGCATGAGAGTCATGGGCAGCAGCAGCATGAGAGTCATGGGCAGCAGCAGCATGAGAGTCATGGGCAGCAGCAGCATGAGAGTCATGGGCAGCAGCAGCATGAGAGTCATGGGCAGCAGCAGCATGAGAGTCATGGGCAGCAGCAGCATGAGAGTCATGGGCAGCAGCAGCATGAGAGTCATGGGCAGCAGCAACATGAGAGTAATGGGCAGCAGTAGCATGAGAGTAATGGGCAGCAGTAGCATGAGAGTAATGGGCAGCAGCAGCATGAGAGTAATGGCCAGCAGCAGCATGAGAGTAATGGGCAGCATGATAGTCATGGGCAGCAGTAGCATGGGGGAGCAGAAGGGGCTATGGCAAGGGATAAAGGGAGGATGAATGGAGGCACGGAATGGCCCAGGGATGGAAGCACATGCATGAGGATTGGACAAGTGCTGGAGTGAGGAGCATACTAAGGGATGATGGGTGGAAGCAGATGGTAGTGGCAGATGCATGGGAAAAGGGGCGCAGCAGAGGCATGGGTAGAGGGGAGCCTGAAAAATCATGGGAAGAGGAGCATGGAAAACAAGGGAGGACGGGAGCAGGAGGGGCAGAAGGATGTAGCAAATGTGAGGGATGGATAATGTGGCATGTGTAGAGACGCCAGGAGGCAGCTAGGGCGGCAGGAGGTGCTAGGGCAGCATGAGGCAGCTAGGGCAGCATGAGGCAGTTGGGGCAGCATGAGACAGCTAGGGCAGCATGAGGCAGCTAGGTCAGCTTGAGACAGCTAGCAAGGGGAGGGAAGGGGGGGAAGCAGCAAGAGGAAGGTCGGGCAGGGGGGAGGGAGCTAGGGCAGCAGAAGCAGCTGGTGGCAGCATAAGCGCTAGGGCAGTAGTCGCAGCTGGGACAGCAGAAGCAGCAGGACAGCAGAAGTGGCTGGGGCAGGAGAAGCAGCTAGATTAGAAGTATATAGGGGCAGGAAAAATCAGCAAGGGGATCTAATATGTGACACCAGGCAATATTAGCGGTGGTAGTAGCAGGATCGGTGAAGGTGGCTGTATAGGTGTTTTAGGTGTGATTATGTAGGATTGTAACCAGGTTTTTTTAGTGCATTTATTAACAATTTAATATTCACATTTCGTGAATTATATCATTGTAGCCAACAGCTAACTACATGGTACCGACCTAAACCGGCATTTACTGTTGCACATTGCCACGTCAGCTGCCAAATGTCGGTGGTCTCAATTAGGTGGCAACGAAGAAAGAGTTCTAGTGTTTGAGTTATTTCAATTAAATAATGAATTAATCACACTCGAAACAGTCACGCCCAACACTCTTTGGCGTCACACATTTTTCAGCCCGAAACAGTTACGAACCTTGGCGGAATACGCGTCGCGATTTTCGGCCCGAAGCTCGACACAGCCCCATGCGGGATGCAGTTGCCTCACTATTCCGAAAACAGCCCGAAACTCGGAATGCTTTTCCGCCAAGTTTCGGCCACTTCGGCTGACCTCAGCCCAAATTTCGGCGAGGTTAGGTGGGGATGTTTTGTGATGTCTCCCCTTTCCCCTTCCGCTGCCCCTGCTCTCCCTCCTGCGCTCACGCTGCTCCCCCCTGCGCAATCACGCTGCTCTCCCTCCCGCGCGATCACGCCGCTCTTCCCGCGTGCTCATGCCGCTCTCCCTCCCGCGCGCTGACGCCGCTCTCCCTCCCGTGCGCTCACGCCGCTCTCCCTCCCGCGCGCTCATGCCGCTCTCCCTCCCGCGCGCTCACTCCGCTCTCCCTCCCGCGCGCGCGCTCCGCTCTCCCTCCGGCGCTCACTCCGCTCTCCCTCCCGCGAGCTCACTCTGCTCTCCCTCCCGTGCTCACTCTGCGCTCCCTCCCGCGTGCTCACTCCGCTCTCCCTCCCGCGCGCTCACTCTGCTCTCCCTCACCTGCCCTCGCTGCTTCCTCCCTGCATCGCAAAAATTGGGTGCCTGGATGTGGTTATACGTTGGCATTGGGGTTGGGAGAAGGCGAGATATGGTCATTACGCGTGGCTGGCATAGATGTTCCAGGGATTTGGCTTGTATGGCTCCAAATGGTCCGGTTCCTCGAAGTCCATTCGTGTCGATTGATGGACCTGAGATGGCGATCGAGAACGTGCATTACTGGTTGGAAACGACGATTTGAAACTTTCGATTGGTCGAGGCCAACCCACATTTACGGACGAATCTAGTCGTATAGGGGCGTTCTCGACACGTTCGATGCCAGAGCCTAGCCATTCACCGCAGATGGTTCGTTGTAGTGTTGGAGCGTAAGTGAACTGTTACATGTACACTTTCTGTGTCTTTCTGCTCTGATATTTTATGGCATGCCAATTATAGTGACAATTCACATGACTTGCAGTAGTAATATTATTAAAAGCACATATATGGGTGTACAGTAAACTTCATCTATGGTGCTCAGCTGATAAGATTGTGTTGTTTCATATTTAACGTGTTTGTAATAAACAAAATCTGGGATTTTCCACGAAATTCGGAATTTCAATTTTATGCTACATTTATTACGCTATTTTAGAGCCCATGTATTACAGATCCATCCTTATTCGTCAATTGGAACAAAATGCTGATTATAAACTTCAAAGTGCACGACAGTTAGCAAAAGGTAAACTACATCGGAACACCATTCGGAAAGATCTGGTTCTCATAACCGTCAATCAGAATCTTGACGGCCTTGCAAAACTTAATACCAGGTGGATAGTCGGTGTTCCAGATGCTTGGATCGACCTTGTAGTACTCCCGAATCCAAGCCACAATTTGGGCAATCTTCCTCTGCACGCCCTGGGTGTTAACCACCTCACTGCCTGGGAGAGATGGGACCTTGCTCCCCTTGGCATTGGCCATGGGCCACTCGACCTGGAAAAACAGAAATATATGTATGAGCCTTGTCGTGTGGTAGTGTTGAACTTCAAAATAAAACAGTATGAAGACAACCTTACCACATAGCACACGTAGGCAACAGCGCCAAGCTTGATGTCATAGTTGTCTGCCTTGGCACCACCAAACGGCTTGCACATTGACAGCACAAACCCCTCATTGGCAAACGGGTGCTCGCTCTTAATACAGTGCCAAGTTGAGCCGTAGAGGTCTGCAAGTGACAAGAAGTGTAATAAGCAAGTTGCAGCTTTGCATGATAGTAGGTTAACCATCACACAAGAAACTCACCATGGCTGTTCTTTGCCGTCCACTGCTGTAGCGTTAATGCACATCCTGGAGATAAGCCCGCAGCAACAAGGGCGGGTAACTGTGAGTCTAAGTAATACCCACCGACCCCCCAGCCATACAACTTGATTTTGCCGTTGAGGCTAGAACGACGCTCCGAACACTTCTTCTTAGCGATGTCCTTCTTTGCGGTATCGATCGACATTTGGTAATAAAACAAGTCACTACTAATAGACTCCTCTGCATACTTCATTGCTGCACTGGCCTGGAACTCGTGCCACTGTGGAAAGAAGTTTATCAGAAGACCTGGAGCAACGGTTGTGAGCCAGAGAATGGTGTTCGAGGCGATTCCCTGCAATAAGGTGATAAGAAAGAAGGTTAGTCAATGTTACGCAGAGGAAATTGCAAGTTTGACCAACAGTTCGCAATTTTGGATTGTAGGAAAATGTTCTGACCTCAGCTTGTCAGGGACCTGAACAACACCGCTGCAGGAGCTCCATGTCCTTCTCATCAGCCAGATCTTGCAATTCCTTCTCACGCTGGCGCGAAATCTCGAGGGTGTTGTTGAGGTCCGCGAGCTGAGCTTCCAAACGAATTGTTGTGGCGGTGCTCGGATGTTGGACATCTGATGAATGGGGTCAAGATAAAGAACAAGAACCATCATGTTGAGATTATTAAAGTTGCAAGTTAAATACATGCAAACAAGAGATGCAATAGCTCAAGTGAAGGGTGTATTGACAATATAAATTAGAAAGGGTAAGTGTGCATTATTGGGAAAAAATACATCGTTCTAGACCTTCCGGGAAGGGCCGACCGGGAAAGAGAAAGTCGGTGCCGAGTCACAGCAGCTTCGGCTGAAGCAAAAGCAAGAGTGCTTGTTTGGGCAGCATGAACAGCGGGGCGCAGTTCCTCCGGTGGATCTGCAGGGGGCAATACAGGCTCGATCCCAATGGCTGCCTCTGTTGCTGCTGCTGTAACAGGCATAGAGGAGGAAGGAGGATGACGGTGGTTCATCCAAGCAAAGAGGCTCTCGAGACCCTCGTTCGTAAGTCCCTCTGCTGCTGCAGAGATCAGCGCTGTCCGTTTGGAAGGCCCACCTGCAGGGGTGAGGGTGACATCCCCCCCTCTATCGTCGCCAGGTGTCGCATGTGTGCGTTTGGAAGGAAGGTCGGTTGGTGCTTGCGACATTGCGGAAAGTAGTGGGTGGTTTGATGGGCGGCTGGCCCGTCATTTATGGTCATTCCCAGCCTTCTGCATGTTGTTGTGAAGCTACTGTATTTTTCCGGGCATGCTGCTGACATGGCACTGTTTTTTTTAAATGAAGGTTGGACGTTATTCACCTTTTTCAGTGGGAATATATAGCGTCTGAGAAGTGTAGTTGCGTGGGTTAAGGATTTTTGCGGGCAAGTAAGTTTATGTGGTCGATTGCTCAGTCATTGGTCAAAATTCACGCGTTGCCAGTGTTGCCTCGTTCTCCGTTCGTTTGGGTGCATGTGACCAGCGAGGCATGCGCACTGTTCATCAAGTTGTTTTGGGCACAACCGAAAAGTCTTGTTGCCACCAAGCGCTCATCATGAACGTGCAGACTTCGGTGTTTTTTTGCAAAACCAACTGTCCAGAAATGACCAGCGCGGCGGCGGAAAGTGGGTGCGACACGAGCATCACCTGTGCTCCGCTGTCACTCGCCTAAAAATGCGCGTGTAGAAGACTTTAGAATTGCGATAAGGGTTTGCTCGGTGTATTTTTATAAAGATTATTGTACATGACAGTATCGGTCAAAGATACGGAACAGAAGGAGGACCTTCGTGTACCACTCTAAATCCCCTTCTACGACCCGAGTACCCATAACAGCGACATCGGAAAACCATGGCCTGCCATGAAATGATGGAAGAGCACGGATTCAATGTGATAAGTGGCTGAACTCTGCATCCACTGCCGCGGGCATCGCAAGTTCGGTATGAAATTCAATGTGACGAATTTCTGAGCCCCTACACTTCGGTGCAATGTTTAAGGCTGCCCTTAGGTGAGGGAGGTCTGCCCGAAGTGCCTCCATACACGCCTTGTCCCGCTTGGCATCTGAGGTTTGAGGTTGGGGCGGAGCAGGAAGTTCTGGAACCTCCAGCCTCCAACATGTGCGGGACAAGAAGTGTGTTCCGGTTCGCACAGCCATGAGCATTGCCGTGTCATATCGCTTCCTCTTGCCTAGGTTTGGAGCAAGAGGTTGCAAGCGCAAACGTTGCACCACAGAGTTGACGATCTGGGATCCAACTGAGCGCTTGTTGGATGCACGATACGGGTCCTTCACATATTGGATGTGCAAGGTGTTCATAGAGCTGAGCGCTGAAGTGCTCTGGAACGCCTGCACGCTTTATCGAGTCGATAAACTGGCTCACTAGATGTGCCTTTACAAGCTTCCAATCGGAGTTTTGCTTGAACGCACTCATAAGGCCACCGAGCATCTTTTCGGCCCGATTTTTCAGGTCCCGAAGTGATGCATCAGTGTGTTCGCTTATACGTGCACAGTGCAGGTACCACTCGATGTATGCAATCAATGCATCCATCTGTGGCTGTGTGATAAAAGATGTTACAATACAAGGCAGCACCTGCATCACACTTCTGTACTCGTACGCCTGATAGTTAGCACCTTTTGAGAAGTATGTGCCAGCTGGCAGGCGCATGAAAGAGCTACGCGTTATGCTTCGTAAATACTTTAGGCGCCTATCCAACAATTTCCGTCGCGCATCGGTCATTTTCGTCGCGGGTGTATCTCCACCTTGTCGAATGCATTCGACAATGTGCTCGAACAAACCCAAATCTGCTTGATGCATGATGTCAGGCATCACACAAAGGTATGGGTTGAGGATCTGTTCAGATTCCCACCTCCAACCCCACAAGCAACACTCCACTGGATGCATGGAGAGGTCATCGTGCTTTATTGCATTGAACTCGCCGCTCTTCATAAGCGAGTACAGAGTTCGATTCACATGCGGGGTGCGTTCAACGGGTCTAAGCTTGAATTGTGCAAACTCCTCTTGCCAGGTGAGGCAAATGGAGCATGGTCGCTTACATCCCAAAGATTTTGTGCATGTGACTTTGCACGATTCGGGGTTGTCACACACATACGCATACAATGCCGGCCATGCGTTAAGCATCTCTCTATTGCGGGACTTCACCTTCACACCAGTGTGTGATGCGCGTTTTAGAGGGCCGAGAACTTGGTTCAGCACATGTTGGAATACCATGAGCTTATCCAAGGAGTCATACTCGGGTATAAATTCCGGAAGAAGGGCAAGAAGTACGTGGTCATCCTTTTTCCACCTCTCCACTCTCAGGATGTTGCCTAAGGTCATGTGGAGGGGATGACCCTTGGCTTTCCCACGCTGATCCATGTGCGTCTCATCCGACGCAAGTATTAACGCGTCGACAAAACCGTCGACAGCCTCCTTCCGAATATTTGATTGCATCTTGTACCACCAATCTCCAGTTTCAGAATTGTTGTACACGCGCAACTCTCCTTGGAACCGTGGTGTGGCTTCCTTTACAATTTTACCCACCAAATTTGGATTAGTGAGCAAGTCCTTCAAAGCTTGAATCGCATCACAATAGTGATACTCAAGCCATGGCTTCGTCCCGACTCGCACCCTGGACTGATGCAGCAGCCACCATCCACGAACAGGCCCGTCTACCAACTCCACCACCAGGCACCACCCAACCGTCTTCTCCCACGCCCCTCCTCGCCTTCGTGTGTTCCACACTTCACCCTGTGTAACCCTCTTCCTATTATCCTCGTCCTCCATTCCCTCCTCCTCTCCTTCAACTTACAAGTCACCTTGGAACCCCCTTGTCTGCACCCCCCTTCTCCCCTGCTCTGTCCCCCTCCTCCGCAGGCGGGCTCTACCTAATCGAGGTCGACCGTCTGCTCCGCCCCGGCGGGTACTAGGTTCTGTCAGGCCCGCCGGTGGACTGGCAGCACCACAACAAGCACTGGGGCAAGCCCGAGGCTGAGATGCGCGCACAGGACGAGGGGATCAGCGCCGTTGCCGCTGCGCTGTGCTGGAAGAAGGTCGGGCAGAAGGATGCTGTGGCCGTGTGGCAGAAACGAGCGGATGACTCGTGCTTTGCTGGGAAGAAGGGGGAGGAGAGGAGGAGGAGGTTGGGTGAGCTGGTGGGAGCGGGAGGGGCGCGGCGTGTGCTGGCAGGAGGGGGAGGAGGGGGCGTGGATGGGTCAGTGGCAGAGGTTCAGCTGGATTTATGCCCCGAGTGTGACAACCCTGATGACGCCTGGTACGCCCCCATGAGGCAGTGTGTCTCTCGCGCCCCTCGCGCCTCTCGCCCCACTCCCCGCCTCGCCCCCTGGCCAAAACGCCTCGCGCAAGCCACCCCCCGCATTAGACGCGCATACGCTTCCGCCGCTGCCGCTGCTGCTTCGGACGGCATTGGGAACAGTAAAACCCTCGTTAAGAGGTTCCTCAATAGCTTGCGCAGGTGGACGAAGCGAGTGGCCTGGTACAAGGAGGCGGTTCTCCCGGCTCTCGGCCAGGGAAGATACCGCAACGTAATGGACATGAATGCAGGAGCCGGGTCCTTCGCAGCCGCTCTGGCAGGAGACCCAGTAAGGGTGATGAACGTGGTTCCTGTGGAAACGCCGGCAGAAGTAGGGGAGCAGCAGAAAAAGGCAGGGAAGGGAGAGGATGGAGTGGGTGGAGCGGGGCTGCCGGGATACCAGTGGAGGGTGTCTGCTAAGACAGAGTCGCTGGGCCTGCCTCCGGGGGAGTCGCTAGGGGTTATCTACGAGCGAGGCTTGATTGGGACGTACCAGGACTGGTAAGCTCGCTGGCCGTGTGGGGGTCTCTTAGGTCTTTCCTTCTCTGCTTGCATCTAGTCTCAACTGTTCCTCTAGTTTGTGTCCCCTCGTTTGATCATCCTCTGCATTGCATTCTCCATCTTTTTTGTCAAGTTTGCACCGCTCATGCTGGTTCTCATTCAATAAAAACGTGCTGCCAATAATACTGCACCCACTGCGATATCTCGTCACCCCAACACGCTCACTGCTGCTGCTCACCCTGCAGGTGCATGCCTTGCGTCATCACGCTGCTCATCCCACTCTCCTCTCCCTCTCTCTGCCTTTGTGCCTCCTCCCGTGCCCTGTGGCCTACCAGGTGTGAGCCGTTCTCCACATACCCTCGCACGTACGACCTCATACATGCCGCCTGGCTCTTCTCTGCTATCTCCAAGAGGTGAGATCTTGAAACAATACTGTCTTTTAGTAACAACGGACCTTAGATTCAGGGTTTTCTGGGCATATTCTCAGAGGAAGTGCTTTCTGAACCATTTGTGACCCTCCCCATCCAAACTCAGTGATCTGTCCATTGAACTAACATTGTCAGTTCTTTGAGACCTGGAGCACCCCTCAGCCTTTGGCATGAGCCTATCCAATCACGCTGTCCCTCCCCCATCCGCAGCATATCCACCCTACCTACCCGCTTTCATTTCTCTGCTCTGTGCCATGCCATGGCACGTCCCACCAGGTGCGGTGTGCAGGTGGTGCCGCTGGAGATGGACCGCGACCTGAGGGAGCACTCCGTCCTTGTTTCCCCCATCCTTCCTCAAACCCCTCCTCCCTTCCCCCTCCCTTACTCCCTGTGCCCCGCCATGCTCCGCCCCACTAGTTGCGGCGTGCAGGTGGTGCTGATGGAGATGGACGGCGTGCTGAGATGGAAGGAACGCCCGCTCCCACTCAACTCCACCTCCTCGGTTCTGCTCCATCCTTCCCCCGCCCCTCCACCCTTCCCTCTCATCCTCTCTATCCTCTGTGCCCCGCCCCGCCAGGTGCTCGGTGGAGGTGGTGCTGATGGAGATGGACCGCATCTTGAGGCCGGAGGGTGCGGTCATCTTCTGCGACAGCCACGCCGTGCTGCGCACGATCCAGCCCCTCGCCAAGCGCCTGCGCTGGGACGCCCGATTCGAAGCCAACCGGCCCGGCGGCAGCGGGCGCATTCTCGTGTGCGTCAAGAAGTACTGGGTCGAAGGGTAGAGTGTGTGTATGTGGGGCGGCACAGCAGCAAACACTGGGTCGTCCAAGTGTGGTGTGAATCATTGCTGGTCCGACAGGAGAGCTGACGTTTGTGAGAACAGTGGTACAGTAGCAAGGATTAGATGAGATGGAGTAAGCAAGGATACCACAATGAGATTGTAAGTCGCCTGGAATGTTTTTTGCTACATTCATTTTGATAGGATAGATGATGGTGAATTTGACCAAGGATTGTTGCAGGAACATACCAGTAGGGGGAAAGGCTTTTGGGAATTTTTGCAGAGAATTATGGTTCATCTGATTAGGTTGGTGCACACAGCAGGAAGTTTCTGGTGCATGCTATTTTAGTTATGATTACAAGGACAGATAGTGTCCATAGAGACAACTACTAAAGAATGGCCGCACTTAAATAGAGGGTGATTAGACTCTAGAGGCAACATGTGCTGTTGCCAACTTGGTTACAGCAGACAGCATTCTTCTCTTTCGTCATGCAGATACTGGTAACGCTGCAACACCTGTTCGCCCAGCACACTCTGCCGTTCGCAGGCTGCGCGTTTCGCACGCAGGAATGGAACAAGGGAGAGAAGGGGAACCAGAGGGAACACAAGTCAGAGGAGAAAGGCAGCAGAATTGGGGGTAGGGAGAGGGGGCTGTGGAGGAGAGCAGGAGTGTGAAGGAACATGACGAAACGCAGCATGAGAAAGGTGGAGGGAGGAAGCAGGTACGGTAAGTGAAGCGTGCAGTCTGAAACTGAAACGTGCCGCAAACTGAAACATGCAGTCTGTTCTCGAGAATCCTCGGAAACGAGTGTCACTGAGGCGTGCGCTGCGCACTCACACTGCCGCAGCACTTGCTGCCGCCGCAGAGCTCCGTGGGCGCGAGGCAGAAGCCGTTGCAGCAGCGGAACGGCGAGCAGCATGCCACGGCCGTCTTGGCTGCCGTCGTGCTCAGGCACGTGGGGCACTGCTGCGCCGCTGCCGCTGGTGGTGAGAGGTTGAGGTGAGGGAGGGGATGGGGAGGAGGGAGAGGGGTTGTGGCGGGGAGTTGGGGGTTGGGGTGAGGGGGAGGCGGGGGGAGCAGAGGGAGAGAAGGGTTCGAGCGGATCAGACAAGGGATACAGACGGGATGGAGGGAAGACTAGTTGAGTCTAGGGAGGGAGGGAGAGAGATAGGTGGAGAGAGGACACGGACGGCATATTAACGGACCTTCAATCGACATGGATGGGCAGGCGAGAGGGAGCTAAGGAACCGTCAATTTTTTAGGCGCCTAAAAAATAGACTCCTCACGCGAGGGAGCTAAGGAACAGTCAGCTCACGTTGGCCGGAGTTTCCGTATTAACCTGTCCTGGAAACATCAACTCGCTCTCCTACGACCTCTCGAAGCACGGCACTCGGCAATCACGGCACTCGGCAATCACGGCGCTCAGAAAGCACGGCATTCGCCAAGCAGGGCAAGCGCGGGAAGCTTGGCACAGAGCAGGGCTCGGAGCAGTTCAGACTCACGAGCGACGGCGAAGGTCCAGCTGAGAATATCGTGCACGGCGGGCGAGGCGGCGGAGGACGCCGTGAAGCCCACGAAGAACCCGGGCTTCTTCAGCACCGCGCACAGATTCATCCGCCCGCGCATCACCGCCCGCCGCGGCCGCGTGCGCCCGCGCCCCACGTACACCGCGAGGTCGCGCCCGTTGTAGATCACCCACGCGCGCCGGATCTTGGTGTCGTTTAGCGGAGCAACCAGCACCTGCGCCGCGAGGGACTTTACCGAGTTGCGGAAGTTGATTCCCACGTGGCTCGCTACCATCCCGCCCCTGGAACCGCCATCAGCGCCACTGACGCTAAAACTGGGCTTCGGATCCCAAACGTTATGGTACGTGTCGAATTCTATCGCCAGCGCGCGCGAGCGGCGGTAGCGGACGCCGCCCCCGTACCCCAGATACCCGTCCGCGGAGCCCAGATTGCGTAAGCGCTGCCACAGCACCATGGCGAAGCCGTCCGCGGGGCCGCTCACGCGGAAGGAGAAGACGGAGCTCCAGGCGAGCGCGCGGCAGGCGGAGCTGTTGGCGGAGTTGCCCGGGCGGTCGAGGAGCACGACGGGCGTGCGGAGAATGAACGCGCCCGCGGAGTGCTCCGCGGAGGTGAGGCGCACGGCCTTTCGGTGGTAGGATGAGGCGGAACCGAAGAGATGGAGCAGGTCCGTGGACTGGAAATTGGGGAACTGCACGCGACCTGGGGGGGGGGTGGTGGAGGGAGGACGGGGGACGGGAACGGGAACGGGAGTTTGGGGTGGTGACAGAAGAAAAGGAAGCACAGGAAGACAAGAACGAAGGGAAGGAGCCTTGGGTGGGACGCGATGGAATCGATAAGGAAGAACTTCGCACGGAATGCGAGAGAAGTGAGAGGGCATGGGAGGAAGAGAAGCGAGGGGCGAGGAGCGAGGGGCGAGGAGCGGAGCGAGGGGCGGAGCGAGGATTCCAAACAGGACGGAGTACGAGATACACATGGAAGTAGGAACTGTACATTGATTACACCATCGGGTGCAACTCACTGACCTCCCTCTGGAAACCTGCATCCTTCAGCTTGGCTCACTTCACAGTCCACAGTGTGGTGCTATTGCAGGAAGACACACCATTGTAGACATCACCAAAGGTAACCGAGGCAAGCTGGTTGTCCTCCACCAGAGAGAACTCGATGCAGTGGGAAGTTGCTAAGCTGACGTGTATGCATGTGCTCAGATCCCCATGAATACAGAGGAACCTTTGAGAAAAATCGGTGCACTGGGAGGCTGCTAAGCTGGCATGTACACTGACGGAAAGAATTGTCCACATGTTTGGCAATTTTTTGAATTTCCACCGTTAAAGGGCATTTGAACATTAAGCCTTAATTGGAGGCATTACCCACTATATGCAGGCCAATCTAGGGAGACATTAAAATGCTACACATTTGATGAAACTACTATCGTTAACAGTAAACAGCAAACATAACCAAACACGGTGCATGTGGACAATTATTTCCAGGCGGAAGCAGCAACTTGAAAAACCCTTAAACTAGTACATGGTCCACCGCCCTTTAGCCCTAATCACTGCTTTCACCCTCCTGGGCATGCTGTCGATCAAATTGGAGCACACCTCCGATGGGATCTTCTCCCACTCCTCTTGTACACGCTCCCACAGGTCCACCATACCAGTGGGAGGTGTCTCATGCTTTCCCAGCTCCCTTTTAAGATGAGCCCACAGATGCTCAATGGGGTTCAGATCAGGACTTCCTGCCGGCCACTCCAGGACCCCATACTCCTGCTCCTGAAGCCACTGCTGCACCACACGGGACTTATGCTTGGGGTCGTTATCATGCTGGAAGATCACAGCCGAGGGGGTTAGCTTGTAAAAGTCGATGGTTTTTTTCAGCTCGTCTTGCAAAATGCTCAGATACAGCGGCCCGTCCATCCGACCATCGATTTTGCACATGAAACCCGCCCCCTCAAACGTCATACATCCCCAGATCATCAAGCCGCCGCCCCCGTGTTTGTCGGTTTGCTTGATATGGTGGTGTTGGAGAGTCGTACCTTCACGAACCCAGGCGTACGCGCGGCCGTCAGAGCCGAACCTACTAATCCTCGTCTCATCCGACCATATGACCCGTCGCCAATCATCTATGGTCCAATCCGCGTGGGCCCGTGCGAACGCCAGCCTATCGCGGATATTTTTCTTGGTGAGTCGCGGCTTCTTAGGCTGCTGAACTGCGATAAGGCCGCTGGATTTGAGCGCATTACGCACCGTCCTAGGATGCACCGTGATGCCGTGCTGGGATTCGACGATTTGGGCCGCATGCCTCGAGGTTTTCGCCTCGCCGCTAGTGATCGCCCTGACGATCCCACGACGAATTCTACTCGACAGTACGCGTGGACGACCAGCAGTGGGCATTGTAGGACGTACGTCCTCGGGACTAGTCTCTGAAATCGCCTTGAGCCCAACATCATGCACTGTACTTTTCCCAACGCCAACCTGTTTCGCGATTTGCCTCGTGCTGAACCCCCTACGCAACAGGGCCACGATCCGGGCGCGACGAGCCTCATCTATCGGTCTCATCTTGGCGTAGTCTACGCCTCGGGTATAAACTTTATTCTGACTACTCGACGATTGCGTTAGGAACTATGGAGAGAATGCTCTAGTCGAAAACGGATCTAGTCCGCTGCTTGGCCAAAACTGTCCGGATGCACTCACGCGACTGAAATCTTGGCCACGCTATTAGTGCGACCCATTCAGGTTGCAAACGTGTTACCCTATTGTAACTGGCACGCGTAACTTATTAGTCAGCAATGAACATTCAACGATACATCGGGTGAAAGCATTCAAATCATGTGTTGAACCTAAAATTGGACTTTATCCGGGCAATACTTTCCGTCGCTGTAGGTCGGGTCGACAGGTTACTGCTGCGAATAGTAGGCAGCCGAGTTTCTGCTGATACTCCTGGATTTGCTTCGCGGGGAGTTTTGCGGAGGTGTTGCTGTTGTTCCCGTAACGGTAGGGAGTCGTGACCGTAGTCGGCGTTAGCCCGAATTTCTTCGCGACAACGCCTGCGTATTTTCCAGCGTGTAGGTAGAACGCCGAGTTGTCTTCGACGACATTCAGTCCCAGGTACTGGGTCACTATGTCGGACACCGTGAGTGTCAAGTCCCCTTTCAGCTCCCCTTCGAACCAGGTGGCGATGTCGGTAGTGGAACCGATGTAGAGCAGGTCGTCGACGTAAACGATGAGTAGGATATACTCTCTTCCCTTCTGCAGTCGGTACATGCCTTGGTCATGCGGCAGCTGTAGGAATCCGATTCTGACGAGGCGACCGTGAAGATGTTGCTGCCAAAGCCGCGGGGCTTGCTTGATCCCGTAAAGGGATTTTATCAGCTGGCATACTTTTGTAGGGTCATCGATGAATCCGTGGGGCTGCTCGACGAAGATCTCGGCGTCCACAGGTGCGTACAGGAAAGCATTTGCGACGTCGATTTGGCGCAGTGGTAGTTTCTTCGTGGCCGCGACAGCGAGTAGGATGCGCAAGGAGGTGTGACGGGAGACTGGGGCAAATGTTTCTGTGTAGTCGGTTCCATATCGTACATCGAAGCCTCGTACGACCCATCGAGCTTTGAATCGTTCGATGGAACCGTCCGCGTTGGTCTTAATGCGGTACACCCACTTTCCCTAGAGGACGTTCTTCCCGTTGATGTTCGTTGCAGGTACCAACTTCCATGTATTTTGGTCTTGCATAGCTTTTAGTTCCTTTTCCATCGCCTCCTTCCATTTCGCCTTATGTTCCCCCCCCAGAGCCTGCGACAGAGTTGTGGGCTCGCGCGGAGATGGCGGCGGCGGATGCTGGACGGAGACCCATAAGCCGAGGATTTGCAGTCCCGTGGGTGTGTGTCGAGGGGAATTTTCATTCCCGGAATAGGTTGCTTCGTCACCATCTTCTGGATCAGGTAAGAAGTTTGGGCCGATGCGTTCTGAGACATTCGTGTCGACCGGGTGAGGTGTAACGTAACCTTGGTCAGCGAAGTGGTAAAAGGTGTCGAGGTTGTTGCTATCGAGAGGATTGTTTGCGTCGAGTGGAACTGGCACGAAGCAGTAGGGGAGTGGTCCGGCAGCTTCCGAAGCTCCGGGTACGTCTTCTTCTGCTGCGTCAGCCTCGGCAGCACGGTCAGCGAAGGAGCGAATGCCTGCGACACCGTCGGTGGGGTCGTCTGTGTTGGCGATGGTGTCTAGGTAATGCTGCAGCGTCAGTCATTTGTAGAAGATCACATCACGTGATGCCACGGTATTTTTGTCTTGTATGTCGAGGATTTTCCATGCTTGAAAATGTTTTGCGATGCCGAGGTGGAGTCCCCATCGTGTTCGTTGAGTGAAGCGTCCTGCTCTGGCTGTGTGGGGTCTGTACTGTACCATGCAGCCGAAAACCCGAAGTAATTTTGTGCTGCCCCTTTTTTGTGTCCACAGCAGGTGCGGTGATGCGTTGTTGGGAAGCGATGACGAGGATAGCAAGTTGTGCAGGTGGATTGCATGGGTGATTGCATCTGGCCACAGTGCGTTGGGCAGTCTCATCCCCAGGAGCAGCTTCCGCATCGTCGTCTGCAAGGTCCGGTTCATTCTTTCAGCGACCCCCTGTTGCTGGTGAGCGTAGGGTAGAGACACCAGGGGTCTGATTCCTCTTTCCGCCAAGTAGGTCCTGAATCGTTGTGACTGGTATTCCAGTGTGCCGTCGGATTGGAAACTCTTGAGCTTAGTTCCTGATTCTCGTTCAGCGATGGGGAGCCATGTCGTGAAGGCTTCGAAGGCTTGGTCTCGCGTTTTGAGGTTGTAGTGCCAAACATATCTTGTTGCTGCATCGATGAACGTGATGACATAGTTGAAGTCGGCTTAAGTGTCGTCTCGAGGCACGTTTAAGATGTCGCTGTAAACTATTTCCATCGGTGCGTAGGCAGGTGCACTCGGATTGTGATGTGATGGAAAAGGTTGGTGGGGAAGATCTGCTTCGGGGCACGTGAAGCACCGTGCGCGAGGTCGTCGAAGTTCTTGACCGCTTGTTGTAAGAAGAGCGTTTCGTTCTAACACTTCGGCTTGGATGGTTTATAGTACCGTGCTGTTTGCAGGATGCCCAAAGCGTTGGTGCCAGATGTCGTCGGAAGCGCGATGGCCGGGCGAGCGTTGGTACATGTCGGTGTTGAAGAAGAACGTGACGACCGTGGCGGGACATCGGCAGACTTCTCGTGTGATGGGCATAAGTTGATCTGCTTCGCTTGGCGGTCCTCGGATCGCTGGTGGTGGTACTCGGCTGGGTCCTGCTGCTGCTACTGCAGGTGATGGTTGGGAAGGGACGCTTGCTGGGACTTGTCTTTCTTGTCTGATGACTGCTAACGCTCGTGTTCTTTCTGCTGCAGGTAGGGTGTTGGAGTACCAGAATCCATCGTGGTTGAAGTCGGGGTCAAGATCCGGCGGGTGTGTCCAGGCGGCGAACGACACGATGCTATCACTGTCGGCAGTACCGCGGTCGGGGACGAAGTCCAACACGAAGACGCCGGACTTCAGGAGAGCACGACCGATGAAGAGGCCGCCCTTCCAGTGGTAAAGGCGAAACTCGTTGGAGTCCGAGTCGCACTCCAGGTGAATTCCTTTTGCCATTAGCTGGCTGACGCTTAGCAG